CACCGGGACCACTCCCACGGCCAGGGAGTGGGTCAGCCCAGGACGGGCTGGGCTGAAGGACTGTGACCCTGGGCGGGGGGCTCCTTTACCCCCAGTTGTCTCGCTGCGGTCAGTGGCCCCTGGCCTCCCCACTCCACGCCTTGGCCGCAGCAGTCACTGGGCACGTGGCAGGAGCTTCCCAGGCCCGATCCTCTTACCGAGGCTCCCATACAGCACTGACTTGAGGAATAAGCCGTGGGCCGGGGCCACACGTGCCTGGTGCTTCCCCAGGGGGTCTTGGCTCTCCAGAATCGTCTTCACCTGGGCAGGTGCCAAAGCCCCCAGCCCCACGGCCACCAGCACAGCGGTCATCCTCCGTACCTGTGACCCAGGGCCGAGATTGCACAGAGGCCTGCCCACCCTCAGCCCCACCCCCCAGGGAGGGCCCCAGAACCGAGCCCACCTGTCTATACAGGAAGGACTGGCTCTCAAACTCCAGGCTCCAGAACCGCAGCTTCCTGGAAAAATGTACCTGTAGGTGTCTGTGGGGCAGCGCCTGCCATCCCCAGCCTACCATGTGGCCTCGGACAGGAGACTGACAGGGTGGGCTGGTTCCCCGACTCCCTGCCCCCAGGAAGGCCCATTGGAGAGGCTTAAAACCAGACAAGCAATGCTTGGGCAAGGAGGCAGCAGGACCCTGGAGGCTGGGCAGGTAGCCTGGCTGTGCTGGAGGGGCTTGCCCTGGGCCCTCACCTAGGTTCCTGGTGCAGGGTCTGGGAACATGGCTGGGGCGTGTGCCAGAGACCCCCGCCCTGTACCTGCTGCTCTGACGCAGGAGTCTGGGGCTGGCAGAACTTCTTCCTCCCTTCAGGGCTCACCCCATCGGGGGAGGTTTTGTGGTCAGAATCTGCCACCTGGTGGGTGGCCCTCTGGACAGTGATGGGGCAGCAGAAACCACCCCTGCCAGGCTGGGCCAGAACCACTGGCACCAGTGAAACCTTTCCAGTGGCTGCCAAAATTCTGTTAGGCAGGGCAGGGTTTTTCAGAGACAGGCAGCCTTCCCTGTCCTCTGCTCCCCAGCTGGGGTGGGGGAGGGCACAGCTGCAGGCCGGGGGGTGTCCGGGCCACTCCAGCTGTCCAGGTTCTGAGGACAGCTATCCCGCTTCGCCTGCCTTAAAGCTGGGGGAGGTGCTGGAGCTAAAATCAGCGTGTGACCTGAGGGCAGGGCCACAACCCACAGGCCCTTCCTCACCTGCTCTCCTCGGGGGTGAACAAGGGGCTGGCCTGGCCTGGGGACACAGAGACACGGCGCAGCGTTCGCACGGGGCTTGGCACCGGGCTGCCAGCCGACTGGAACGCGCTGAAGTCATGTGTGCCGAGGAGGTGCTGGGCAGCTTCTTGCATGGCGGCCACATCCAGGCAGCTTCAGGAAACAGGGTAACCGTCAGGAGGTGGGGCCTGCCTGCCCCCTCCCGGCTCACTGTCAGGGCCACACTCACTCTGCCTGGAGAGTCCAGCATAGGTTGCGTTCAAACACCGGGAGCTCGTCAGGCCGGTGACAGCCAGTGACCAGGCGGTACAGGTAGGTCCGGGACGTGGCTGCGTGGCGAGCGTGGAAGTCGCTGGGCACTCGGAAGGCCCGCAGGACCCTGTGGCAGCAGGTCAGGCTCACCAGAGGAACGACCCTGCCCGCCTGCACAGGTGTCACCTCCTCTCTCCTCCACCCCCGAACTCTGATCAGACAAAGAAGTCTGTGCAGACCTCCAGCCTCTGCCCGCAACAGAATCGGGAAGGCCGAGCCCCAGGGGCTGCTCAGGTCGCCGGCTCACCTGATGGCCGGGTGCCGCAGGTGGGTGTTGAGGGCCTCGGCCAGGACCTCGGGCGGGAAGGGCGGCCGGCCTGAGCGGCGCTGGACGTCCAGATGCGCCGCGTTGCTCAGGGCGTGGACTCCCGCGTCCGTGCGGCTGGAGATGGTGAACCTGACCGGCACCACGGAATTCAGCCGCTCGGCGGCCTCCTGCAGGACCGAGCCGCGGGGCGGGCGGGCGAGCGCGCGGGTGGGCGAGGCCGGACCCTGGGGACGCGCGGGCGGGGGCTCCCCCTTATCCCTCACCGGGCGTCCCGGGACCGACCGAGCTTACCTCCAGGTAGTTCTGGACCCCGATGGCGCGCTGAGTGCCCCTGACGGCCGCGACCCCGCTGCGGGCAGAGGCGGGCGGAGGTTACCGGGGGCGCCCTGCCCTGGGGTCTCGGCCGCCCTCTGAGGCCAGAGCCGCTTCCGCCCCCGAACGTTTGCAAACCGCGTCCGGAGACATCCGCTTGCCCGCCCGCGCCCTCCTTCCCGCCTCCGCCCGGGCAACGTGGCGCCCGTCGCTGCGCCCGGGAAACTTACTTAAAGTCGGTACCCACGTACTGGAAGTACACAAGGTAGCGCGCGCGCACCGAGCCTGCGGCCTGCACCGAACCCATAGCCGAATCCAGCCGGCGGCGGGGTAGGCGGCCTCCAGCTCCGGGGTTCTGCGCGCGCGCACGCAGCCTGGTCACGCCCCCGCCCCCCCGGACGCTCTTGCGCCTGCGCAGTCGCCCCGCCCCGCAACGCGCCACGGCGGCCTGGGGCGGGAAGCGGAGGCGGGGACGGGCTTAGGGAGCGGTTGCAAAGTGCCGGCCCGTCGCCGAGCGCAGGGGCTCTACTTCTACCGCGGCGCCCCGGAAGGCGCGCCCGCATCTACGCGGTGACCCCGCGCTCCCGCGGGCGTGCATTCGTTCACTAGTTCATTCATTCGCCGCCGCCCACACTCCCCGAGGGTGCCCGTTCGCCGCGTTGCGGCCAAGTCCTCCCAGACGTGGTTTTCGCAAACGCCCTGAGTTGCGCAACGGCTGGGATGGCTGGAGCGGGCGGGGCCCGCGCCCTCCCCGCGCCCCACGTTTCCACCGACCGTCCCCGAAGTCTACCGTGGCGGGCCCCGCCTCACTTCCGGACCCGGGTGGTCCCTGGACGCAGCGAGGGGCGTTTGGCGACGCTCCCCGGCGGTGACAGCGGGCGGCGCGCGCGGGCGGTGGACTTTGGCGACTCTCCCCGGCGGTGACAGCGGGCGGCGCGCGCGGGCGGCGGACTTTGGCGACGCTCCCCGGCGGTGACAGGCGGGGCGGGGCGCGGCGCGGCGGCCTCATTCCGGGGCGGGCGGGCGCCGAGGCGGCGAGGGCGGGACGAGCGGTCCGGGCCGGCGCGGCTGCCGCTCGGCGCCGCGGTCCTCGTGCCAGTGAGCGCCGCGGCCGCCGCAGCCATGACCGTGGAGTTCGAGGAGTGCGTCAAGGACTCCCCGCGCTTCAGGTGCGCCGCCCGGGGCCGCCGGGGTGGGCGCGGGCCGGGGGCGTTGCTGCCGCCTTTGTGCCCGACGGCGAGGTGGGGAGGTCAGCGCCGGGCCCGGCCGCCCGCGGCCGCCGGGGAGGAGCTGGAGGACCAGCCTCGGACAAAGCGGCGACCCCGCCCCGCCATGTCCCGGGGGCTGGAACAAAGGACGCCCCTGCCCTGTGCGGCCGCCCCCCGGCGGAGGGCGTACGCGTGGGCAGCCGTGGGCACTTCGGGACCGTCAGCCCCCGCTTTGTGTCTGCACCTCCACGGGGCTGAGCCCCTCCCGGGCCCTGCGGTCCAGCTTTGGCGAGGGTCACCTGGGTCTGTGGGGGCGTCGGCCCCAGGTCTCTGCCTCGATCCTGTGTCCAGAGCAGTGCGTGGGGGACAGGGAACTGGAGCCGCGTTTAAGGCCTGGGGCAGGGTGCTTGGGAGCGTGAAGTGGTTTGAATGACCCGCTGGCTTAGAGGGTGGCGGCCGAGAAGAGCGGCGGGGAAGGTCAGGTAGGGGATAGGGGTTGTGTGCACCCCGAGTCTGCGTGTTTTCCGTCATTCCTGGCGTGCAGGCGTGCACACCTGCGTGAACCACATGTTCACAGACGTGTGCACAAGTGTGCATCGGCCTCGCATGGTGGACATTTGGCAAACGACAATGGAGGCAAAGAAACCAGAGTGCGCACCTGCGTGAGGCCCCCTCCTCTTCCAGTGCTTGTGCGGGGCGCACCCTTGTGAAATCTGCTCCTCTGTGCGCCTCCCTCGGGGCACCAGGCCTTGCACAGGACGTGTGGATGAGCTGTGCCACAGGGCTGTGCTTGCTTCTGCGTGTAGCCTGCCGATGAGTGCATGCAAGCATGTGCACACGCCACCTCTCTGTGCCGGTTCACGTACTGTGTTAGCCATGTCACCAACAGACAGATCAGCTTGTACATGCATGTTCCCCCACTGGGTACATATGTTGATGTGTGCCTGTGCAGTCCTGGGACACACATGTATGTGTGGTGCCAGTGTGTGCAGACATGTTCATGCATGAACATGTTTGCACATATGTGCTTGGTCGTGTGTGTGTGTGTGTGTGTGTGTGCTGGGTCTCTTGGGATCTGCTGGCAAGTCAGCCTGTGTAGGGGGGCACGGGGAGCTTCAGCATCCTTAGAGCCCTCACCAGAAGGCCTCAGGAGACGGAGTGGGAGGCTCAGGGCCAGCCAGGAGAGTGGCCCCCCGGCCCTGGGCAGAGGAACTGGGGCCATCCTCTGCTCTCCCATCTTCCGTTGCTGACCTGGGAAAAGGGGTTGAATAACTCAGGCACTCTACAATCCTGCGTTGGGGACCCGGGCTGTGGGGAGGCGTGGGCATGGCCTCCCTGCTGGGGGCTGGGCCCTGGCTGAAGCCCCTACTGTCTCCCTGGCCTCTCCCTCAGAAACCTAATGGATCTCCTCCTCGCAGACGGCCCTGTGCTGCCCTCGCCCAGTCGGGTGGGGGTGCTGGAACCCACTCACCTCTGAGCCTTCCCTTGTAACCGGCTCTGACGGGAGCCGGTTACAGGAGCCAGTTATGGGGGCTGTGGGGCCGCAGTAGGTGCCGTAGGGCGGCCGCCCGGCCTTTTGCCACGGGGGCTGCCCTGGGAAAGTGCCTCACCCCCGTGGGGCATGGACTGGAGTGGAGAGGTGAGAATGGCCTGGCCCAGTCGGTTTTAGGGTTAGGCTGTGATTTAACTGGGGTTTGAGGGACTCCCAGAGGCTGTCCTGGGGGCGGGCCCTCAGGGTGTGACTTGAGTTTCCTGGCCTACCGTGAGGCTGAGGGCCAGGCAGGGTGGGCGAGAAGATGTGGTCTGTAATGTGGAACCTGGTCGCCCCAGCCCTGGAAAGGGGGACCCTGCCTGCACCTTCCTGGTCTGGGAGGGCCTAGTGGCGGCCTGGGTGCGGTGGGCAGGCGGCCAGGGGAGCCTGTGGAGGGAACCGCCTGGCCTCTGTTCAGCGGGTGCTGAGTCACGGCTTTGGTTGGGGGGCAGCCACACCCTCCTCCCCATCCTCCGAGCTGCTGAGGAAATTCTGGGCTGAGCGCAGCAGAAGAGGCGTAGGTCCCTGGGGCGGAGGAGGGTAGAGCTGAGGGGCTCCCAGCAGCGGAAACTGCAGCTCTCGGGGCCTCTGCCAGTGCCCACCCTGTCCCCATGAGCACGTCCGTGAGCTGCGGGGTGCAGCCACCCCCCCTTGCTGGCTCTCCAGGGACACGGGTGCCCCAAGCCCAAGGGCGGCAGCTCTGGGTGCAGCTGTCTCTGTATCCGGCCCTGCCCAGGGGTGGCTGCAACTTTTGGGGCATGGTTCTCTCTGCTGTCTTCTCCTGGGTGGATGGTTCCTTCTCTGTTCTGGGATCCTCCAACTGAGGTAGAGATCAGGGTCCAGGGACTGTGGGCTGGGTGCGTGGACATCACAGTGAGGTTCCCTCCATTGCCCCTGCTTCGGGATTCAGAGTCCTTTTAGCCTCTTGGGAACAGGTGAGGGCTGCTCAGAGGGGACCTGGTGTCCTGCTGTGGTGACTGGGATCATTCAAGGTCCTTCCCCGGGGGGCGCCTGCGGCCCCAGCTCCTAACTGAGGACACGCCCCTGGAAACCACAGGCCCCTCCCCTGAGGCCCGGGACACGCGTCAGGCTAGCAAGGGATGAGGGACCGTAGGCCCCGATGGCCTCTGCTGCTGGACCCCTGCCCTAGACCTGTCCCTGGAGTCCTGGCCCCAGCCCAGGCCCTGTGGTGCCCAATCCCCAGGAGGCCAGATGGCCCGGGCGGCCAGTGAGCCGATTGTGTGGCGTGCGGGGCTGCTGGGATCCTGGCCCTGTTTCCCTTTTCCTGCTCCCGGAGGGGGTGGTCACGTGCCCGACCCATCTGCCTCGGTCTTCCGGGGATTCTCCCGCCGAGGCTGCTCTGGTGATGTCATGCCTTAACTCTTCTCTCCCCAGGCAGCCCTACTCGCAGGCTGTCCTGGTGGGAGTGGGCTCTGAGGAGGACAGCCCACCCGTCTTCCCAGCGGACTGTGCCGCTTGCGGCTGTGAGGTTGGGGGAGCCAGGGGCGTCTCTCCCCAGCTGGTCTGGGTCCTGGTGCTGCCAGGACCAAGAGCAGCTGCCCTGCTGCCCCCCCGCCGTCCCACAGTGCACGGGTGCCAGACCTGGGTGGGCTGCAGTAGTGCAGAGGGGTAAGAGCAGGCGCCGCAGGGTTGAGGGGGCTCCAGAGGGGTCCAGGGCCGACTCTGAAATCCTAGAGGAATGGCCGGTGAGGCTGGCCGAGCCCTTGGTGGGCACCGTCCCTGAGGGACTCCCAGCAGCCGGCTGTCCTGGGAGAGGCTGGTCCAACGTTCTTCCTTGAGAGCACAGCAGCGGGAGTCACAGCCGATTCTGCCTCTCCCTGCCTGGGAGGGGGGTGTCGAGGGGAAGTGCACTGAACCTGGTCCCAGTCCTGTCTGTGTAGCAGGCAGACGTCTGTCTCCCAGCCCGTTTCCTGAAAGCGCCTTCCCATGGTGGAGCCCCTCAGGGAGGTGCAAGGGGAGGCGAAGCCCCAAGGGGGCCGAGGCTGCAGGTGACCCTAGCCAGCCCCGTTCTTGCTTTAGGGCAACCATTGACGAGGTGGAGACGGACGTGGTGGAGATTGAGGCCAAACTGGACAAGGTGAAGGGCGGGCCTGGAGCGCCCGGTGCCCGGCCAGGCTTGGGAATGGCTGCATGGCCGAACTCACCCTCTGGGCCTTACTAAGCCACTTACACCCCCCCATATGCGGAGCTCCCTTGTGGTGCTCCAGGTCCTGGTCCCTGTGTCTTAGCACGTGTGTTCCAGGGTGCACATGTCACACGCACACATGTGGCCGGCCCTGAGTCTCGTCCCATCTGGGAGGGGCCGTGCTGTGGTGAGTCCCCGACCCATGGTGGCCGCCTGTCCCCTCTGCTGGGCTGGTGACATGGGGACAGCTGCTGTGTGGGCTGAGCCTTGGTGTGGCTGGGGCTGGGGCAGAGAAAGGGGAGGGGGCAACAGGCCGTGGAGCTGGGAGCCGCAGCAGGGAGTTGAGTCCACAAGCCCCACATGGGCTGGTACTGCTGGCCCTGGGTCCCCTGCCTGGCTCCTGGTCCCTCCCAGCCGAGCGAGGCCATGGCGGCCCCACCCTCCCCTCCCAGACCGGCCTCCAAGCCCCAGGCAGGCCCAGGCGCAAGGAAGCTGCACCGGGGCCCTGAGTCCTGGGTGCCAACACCCTGAGTGGAACCTACCCTGGAAGCTCTTCCTGCCTCAGAGGCTGTGCGTGGTAGCGAGTGCAGGCACCAGTGCCCGCCGTGCTCACCACGCCCGCCGGCCCGCAGCTGGTGAAGCTGTGCAGTGGCATGGTGGAAGCTGGTAAGGCCTACGTCAGCACCAGCAGGCTGTTCGTGAGCGGCGTCCGTGACCTGTCCCAGCAGTGCCAGGGCGACACTGTCATCTCGGTGAGGGGCCAACTGACCTCTGACCTCAAGATGGGGTATGGGGAGAGGCCGAGGGAGGCAGCCCCTCAAGGGCATCCAGGCCAGGAGCAGGCCGGTGTCTTTACCGCCCAGGGGGCTCAGAGGGCGTGACTGGGTGACCTGGGCCTGGATTTGCCGTCTCAGTTCGGCTCCCCATCTGCCCCTCCAGGAATGTTTGCAGAGGTTCGCTGACAGCCTACAGGAGGTGGTGAACTACCACATGGTGAGCTTGGCCTCCCTGCCACCCGCGGGCCGCACGCAGCCTGGAACCGAGCTCTGCTGGCTCACCGGAAGACCAGCATGGGGTGGGGGGGGGGCACGTTTCTGTTCCTCCAGTCTGGTGGGGGAGCATCCCACGTTTTCACGTCAGTGTGGGTTGGGGGACAGGGAAGGGCTGTCCCAGGGAAGGGCTACACCAGACCCCGGGGGAGGGGTGGTTTATCCAGGGCTCTCATCCCAGGCTGGCCTGGCTGCCATCTGGGTCTGGGTGGCCCCAGGGGCCCTGGCACTGATGTGGATAGACACACAGGACAGGCACCCATGAGATGTGGGGCTGCAGCCTGGGAACCTGAGCCACAGACTGAACAGGGGAGGTTCCGACGTAGACCAGGCAGGATGGCTCAGGCGTCTCTTTGCTCCTGGTTATGCCCGGTCCTTCTCCACCTGATTCAGAGCCCAGGCTCCGGCTCCCCAGGCCCAGCTGTAGGGTGCTCCCAGCTCTGACCGAGTGCTCCCTGCTGCAGGGATGGGCACCCCAGGGTGGCCACCCAGGGCCAGGAGGCAGTGGGGCTCAGGCTGTGTCCTTGGTGCCCGCCTGATGAGGGGACCATCCGAGGCAGCCTTGGCCTCTGTCAAGGGCCAGGTGGGACAGAGGGGCAGGGATCACAGCTGCCACCTCTGGGTGCCAACTCAGGCCTGGGGGCTGCTCCCCTGACCCCCTTGAGGCCAGCCCTGCAGGGTGGGACCCGCCCCTGTGTCTGGGCCTGGGGGCAGTGCCCTCTGCTGGTGAGGATGGGGCCTTCTGTCTGGGGCTTTTTTGGGACAGACCCCAAGGATCTCTGCCCCCTTCTGCCCCCAGATCCTGTTTGACCAGGCCCAGAGGTCCGTGCGGCAGCAGCTCCACAACTTTGTCAAAGAGTGAGTGGCCCCCAGGCCCTCAGGTCCCCCAGGGCTGGGGGAGGAACACGGAGGCCACGCTCCCGCTCTTGGAGGGGAAGAGGGTCTGGGCAGAGCAGGGGCACCTCGGCCCCAGGCCTCCAGGCCGTGAGCGACTCCACAAGGCAAAAGGCTCAGAGGCAGACAGCCGGGTGGAGCTCAGTGGGGTTCCACACCCTGCATGTGTTGGGGGAGTGTCCAGCCCCCCGCCAGTGGAGAGGTGCAGCCCACATTGGGCTTGCGAGTCTGGAGTCTGGGGCATGGTGGGGGTCTGGGCTGGGCAGATCCTGATAGTGGGGCGGGTCTGGAGTCTGGGGCATGGCGGGGATCTGGGCAGATCTTGATAGTGGGGCGGGTCTGGAGTTTGGGGCATGGTGGGGGTCTGGGCTGGACAGATCCTGAGAGTGGGGTGGGTCTGGAATCTGGGGCATGGTGGGGGTCTGGGCTGGACAGATCCTGAGAATGGGGTGGGTCTGGAGTCTGGGGCATGGTGGGGGTCTGGGCTGGACAGATCCTGAGAGTGAGGTGGGGAGGCCTGGAGCAGATGGGAGGAGGCAGCAGGGGTGTGGGGGGTGCTGGGATAGGCCAGTGAGAAAGGAGGCTGTGCCCAGGAGCAGAGAAAGGGCCTGGAGTGGAAGAGGGTGAGGGCTGGGCACGGTGGCTCATACCTGTAATCTCAGTATTTGGGAGACTGAGTCCAGAGGATGCCAGGAGTTTGAGACCAGGCTGGGCAACATAATGAGGCCTCCATCTCTCCAAAAAAAAAAAAAAAAGAAAAAATATATATATTAGGTGGGCATGGTGGCACGCGCCTGTGGTCCCAGTTACTCAGGAGGATGAGGTGGGAGGATCAGTTGAGTTCAGGAGGCGGAGGCAGCAGTGAGCCATGATTGTGCCACTGCACTCCAGCCTCCAGCCTGGGCAACAGAGAGAGACCCTGTCTCAAACAAACAAATAAAACCAGGCCAGGCGCAGTGGCTCACGCCTGTAATCCCAGCACTTTGGGAGGCCGGGGCGGGTGGATCACCTGAGGTCGGGAGTTGGAGACCAGCCTGACCAACCTGGAGAAACCCCTTCTCTACTAAAAATACAAAATCAGGCATGGTGGCTGACGCCTGTAATCCCAGACGCTAGGGAATCTGAGGCAGGAGAATTGCTTGAACCCGGGAGGCAGAGGTTGCAGTGAGCCAAGATAGCACCATTGCTCTCCAGCCTGGGTGACAAGAGCGAAACTCCATCTCCAAAAACAAACAAAAACCACAAACAATGATGTGGGAGACTCCAGGATCCAGCAGGTGCCCTCCCTGACCTCTGGGTGCCCTCCCTGACCCCACCTGGCACTTGGCCTCCAGGGATGTGCGGAAGTTCAAGGAGACAAAGAAGCAGTTTGACAAGGTGCGAGAGGACCTGGAGCTGTCTCTGGTGAGGAACGCCCAGGCCCCGAGGCACCGGCCCCACGAGGTGGAGGAAGCCACCGGGGCCCTCACCCTCACCAGGAAGTGCTTCCGCCACCTGGCACTGGACTACGTGCTCCAGGTCAGCCCCGGAAATGGGGTGGGGGACGGGGACCAGCTGTAGCGAATGGAGGCCTCAAAGGCCTTGTACAGAACTGGAGAGATTTTGAGCAGGAGTGTCAATTCCTGCTTCACCCATGGGTGGGACCTCCAGACATGGGGAAGGACTCCAGGACCATGGGAGGATGAGGCTGGCCCAATGCTGGGAGCTGAAGAGACGACCTGGGGGTCTCAGGGAACCACAAGCAGCTCAGGTGGACTCTATGGCAGGTGCAGGGCTTGAGGCTGCCTCAGCCTCCAGTGCTCACCTGTGGGCTCCCCCTCTGGCAGATCAATGTCCTGCAGGCCAAGAAGAAGTTTGAGATCCTGGACTCTGTGAGTGTGTGGGGGCTGCCCGTGAGCACAGGCTGCATGGTGGGGGCTGGACTGGGTGTGCTTGGGCCTCACCTGTGCTGCCCCCGCAGATGCTGTCCTTCATGCATGCCCAGTCCAGCTTCTTCCAGCAGGGCTACAGCCTCCTGCACCAGCTCGACCCCTACATGAAAAAGCTGGCGGCCGAGGTGAGCCTTTGGGAGGGGTGGGGCCCAGGCAGGCCTCTGCAGCCTTCCCTAATGCCAACCCCAACAGCTGGACCAGCTGGTGATCGACTCTGCGGTGGAAAAGCGTGAGATGGAGCGAAAGCACGCAGCCATCCAGCAGCGGGTGAGGCCACACAGCCGGCTCCCTGCACACCGGGCGCCTTCGAGGCCCCTGCGTCCTCACCCCATGCCCGGCACACCCTCCCCGCCCCTTCCTCCCTGCCTGTCCCCCACCTGCCCTGCCCACACCTTCTCTAGGGGTCCGAGGCTGCTGCCCTTTGATGCGTGCAGCGGAGGGGCACGTGTGGGTGGGGCCACCGCTGGGATCTCCTTCCTCTGCGGCCGTGGTCACCTCTGCGGCCTCAGTCACTGGCTCCCTGCGGGGCCTCTGCTTGCCTGTGGGACAGCAGCCCCGGCCACCACCCAGAGCAGATGTTGGCTGCAGGCAGGAGTGGCTATTTTGGGATAGGGGAGAGCCCCCAGGAGTTGGGGATGGGTCCGCCATTCACCAGGAGTTGGGGGCAGCTGTCACTCACTGGCTCTCTCCCCCGCATCCCCTCCTGCTCCGGCCCTTCAGACGCTGCTGCAGGTGAGTGAGCACCGCCCCGGGTGGGCTGTGGGTCGGGGGAGACCAGATGGGGTGGTGCCTTTCCCTTCTCTACCCCGAGGGCACTTCAGCACCAAGGACACCTCCCACAGGTCTCAGGGCTCCTGCTGCTGCTGCAGCTGTGAGAAGGGCTGGCTCCGGCCAGAACCCCATATCCCCGGTGGGAGTGGCGGCAGCTGTCCCTTCCCGCCCCACGTGGCCTAGGGAGCAGGTGGCCGCGCCTCCCCTCTGCTGCCCTGGCCTGCCAGACGGCGGGACACACAGGGCCTTCAGTGGCTCCCAGGCCTCCTGAATGGGGCTCTGTCCGCTCAGCTGGCCACATGAATGGAACACCCAGGATGCAGAGGGTGGGGGGCAGCTTCCTTCCTGATCGCAGCCTGCTTGTCCCTGCAGGGCTGGGGTGGGGCTGGCACTCTCGGGCCCCCAGCTGTGAACATGAGGGGTCTGCCCCACGAGTTTCAGGGCTGGGGGCCTTGCTCTGGTCAAGAAGTGGCTATGGGCCAGGCGCGGTGGCTCACGCCTGTAATCCCAGCACTTTGGGAGGCTGAGCGGGTGGATCACGAGGTCAGGAGATGGAGACCGTCCTGGCTAACACGGCGAAACCCCGTCTCTACTAAAAAATACAAAAAAATTAGCTGGGCGTGGTGGCGGGCGCCTGTGGTCCCAGCTTCTAGGGAGGCTGAGGCAGGAGAATGGCGTGAACCGGGGAGGTGGCGGAGCTTGCAGTGAGCAGAGATTGCACCACTGCACTCCAGCCTGGGCGACAGAGCGAGACTCTGTCTCAAAAAAAAAAAAAAAAAGTAGTGGCTGTGATGAACAGAGGGTCTCCCGTCTGAGCGTGTGGCCCGTGGGCCATGTGGCAGCCTCAAACAAGGACCTCACCCAGCCTGTGCTCTGGGAAAGCATAGAGGGTAGCAGGGCTCCCTGGGGCGGGCACTCAGGGGGCGGGTTCCATCCCCCCAGGACTTCTCCTACGATGAGTCGAAAGTGGAGTTTGATGTGGATGCGCCCAGTGGGGTGGTGATGGAGGGTTACCTCTTCAAGAGGGCCAGCAACGCTTTCAAGACGTGGAACCGGTGAGGGCCCTTCCTCAGGCGGGGGCAGGGGTCACAGCAGCCCTGGGATGGGCACTGCCTGACTCCCCACATCCCCCCACCCGCCTAGGCGCTGGTTCTCCATTCAGAACAGCCAGCTAGTCTACCAGAAGAAGCTCAAGGTGTGCCCTGGGCCTGGGACTGGGGCCCTGATGGCTGGATGCCCCACCTGGGCCACAGGGCAGACTGGTCAGTTGGGGTTGGCATGGGGCTGGGGCACTAGTGGACACCAGAGCCTGAACGATCAGGGAGCAGAGAGCTGGACACGGGGCTTGGGACTCGGGCAGTCAGCCCCTGGGTCTCTAAGGTGAAGCAGGAAGTGGGTGGTTGGGGCTGGGTGGCGGCTGAGGGCAGGGGCCACAGCAGTGCCGCCCACAGGACGCCCTCACCGTGGTGGTGGATGACCTCCGCCTGTGCTCTGTGAAGCCATGTGAGGACATCGAGCGGAGGTTCTGCTTCGAGGTGGTGTCACCCACCAAGTGAGGAGGTCCAGCCCAGGGTGAGGCGGGGGGTGTACCTGCCCACCGGAGCTGACGCCCGCCCCCTCCACCACCCACAGGAGCTGCATGCTGCAGGCCGACTCCGAGAAGCTGCGGCAGGCCTGGGTCCAGGCTGTGCAGGCCAGCATTGCCTCCGCCTACCGCGAGAGCCCCGACAGCTGCTATAGTGAGGTGTGGCCCTTGGTGCCCCTGCCCCACGCCTGTGCACACACCTGTTCATGGCTCCTGCAAGCTGGGTGTTTGCTGTGGGTGCACTGGCACACTGGCCTGTGCAGTGTGGGTGTGCATGTGTGTGCAGGTGGCATCTGCCCACATGAGGGTGTGCACACATACATGCTTGTGCAGGCGTGTGCTCGAGGGGCCCTGGCCTGCACCTACACTTCCGGCTGGGGAGGAAGGGACCTGCTGGGGAAACCACGCTAGAGCCCCTGCGGGACTGAGCAGCCCCACCCCATCCCCCAGAGGCTGGACCGCACAGCATCCCCGTCCACGAGCAGCATCGACTCTGCCACCGACCCTCGGGAGCGTGGCGTGAAGGGTGAGAGTGTGCTGCAGCGTGTGCAGAGCGTGGCCGGCAACAGCCAGTGCGGCGATTGTGGCCAGTCGGACCCCCGCTGGGCCAGCATCAACCTGGGCGTGCTGCTCTGCATCGAGTGCTCTGGCATCCACAGGTGGGCCCCTGAGGGCGGGGTCGGGGATTGGGGTTGGGCCGGAGCTGGGGGCCTTGCCTCACCCAGACTCACCCCTGCCTCTGCCCTCCAGGAGCCTGGGTGTCCACTGCTCCAAAGTCCGGTCCCTGACGCTGGACTCGTGGGAGCCAGAGCTGCTAAAGGTGTGTGTGGGACTCCTGCAGGCCATGGGACCCCCTTTGTGGGGGCGGGAGCCGGGGTCTGCAGGTTTGCACTGATGCCTGCTCACCCTGTCTCCCGCCAGCTGATGTGTGAGCTTGGAAACAGAGCCGTGAATCAGATCTATGAGGCCCAGTGTGAGGGTCCAGGCAGCAGGAAACCCACAGCCAGCAGCCCCCGGTGAGGTGGGGTACAGTCTGGATCAGCCAGGGAGCCCCAGCCTGGGGCACAGCCTCATGTTCACCCCTGATCCAGGCAGGACAAGGAGGCCTGGATCAAGGACAAATATGTGGAAAAGAAATTTCTGCGGAAGACACCCATGGCACCAGCCCTGGAGGCCCCAAGACGCTGGAGGGCGCAGAAGTGCCCACGGCCCCACAGCTCTCCCCGCGCCCCCACTGCCCGCCGCAAGGTCCGGCTTGAGCCTGTCCTGCCGTGTGTGGCTGCTCTGTCCTCAGGTGGGAGACCACGCCCCGGCAGGGCTGAGAGGGGCTTGACTGGGTTGGGGATGGACTCCGTTAAGGGGTTGGGGGCAGAGGCTCTGGGGGCACCTCAGGCTCCGCAGACTCCCACTGTGACCTGGGGTTCTCTGCCCCACCCCGGGCATGTTCCCTGCTCTGAACACGCACTGCGCCTGCAGTGGGCACCCTGGATCGTAAGTTCCGCCGAGACTCCCTCTTCTGCCCCGACGAGCTGGACTCACTCTTTTCATACTTCGACGCAGGGGCCGCGGGGGCTGGCCCTCGCAGTAAGTGTGGGATGGGCCCAGCCAGGTGGCAGGGCAGGGCCAAGGAGGCTGGCCTGGAGGGTGCCCAAGTGTGGATGGCCCTTGCAGGGGAATGGAGCAGCATCTGGAGGGGCGGGGGCCTCCTGGCCACAGAGCTGGAGGCCGAGGCCCTGACTGTGGGGGTGAGCTGTGCAAATGTGTGTGTGGACTGTGTGCACCCAGGTGTGTGTGTGGAGCGAATGGCCCGGGGTGCTGGGGCAGCAGAGGGCGCTGCCAGCTGGCACTCAGCCTGGGGCCCTTCTGAGGCCATGCTGCCCATCTGTTGGGTGGAGACTTTTCAGCCTGGGCCAGCCACAGACAGGGATGGGGGCCCACTGCAGGGGTGCAGGTGAGCCTGGGGGGGGGGGCACGGACTTCCCCGCGGGCCTGGGCTTTAGGGGACTACCCTGGCACCTTTGAGCTGTTACTTGGTTTTCTCTCCTTTGTTCCTAGCCTGCAGCTGGCTCCCCCCTGGCCCTGGGTGGGAGCTGCTCCTGTCCCTAGGGGTTGCCCCTGGAGGGTGGGTGGGGTTCCAGCTTTGCCCCAGGGCTCTGGATGGAGTTGGGGCCTCCCACCTTCAGGACTCCCTTCCCTGCGGACCTGCAGGTCTGAGTAGCGACAGTGGCCTTGGGGGCAGCTCGGATGGCAGCTCGGACGTCCTGGCTTTCGGCTCAGGCTCTGTGGTGGACAGCGTCACTGAGGAGGGTGGGTGGCGCCTTGCGCTCGGCCGACGCCCCTGCCCAGCCCCGGGGGTCGCCTTCCCTGACCGCCCCCTCCCCACAGAGGGTGCGGAGTCCGAGGAGTCCAGCGGTGAGGCAGACGGGGACGCTGAGGCCGAGGCCTGGGGCCTGGCAGACGTGCGTGAGCTGCACCCGGGGCTCCTGGCGCACCGCGCGGCGCGTGCCCGCGACCTTCCTGCGCTGGCGGCGGCGCTGGCCCACGGGGCCGAGGTCAACTGGGCGGACGCGGAGGATGAGGGCAAGACGCCGCTGGTGCAGGCCGTGCTAGGGGTGAGCGAGGCACGGGGGCCGCGCGCAGGACACAGCCGCACACTTGAGGTTGCATCTTCTGTGGCCCCCACACAGGGGCCGCCTGTCCGCGGTGGGGACAAGTTTGGTCCCGGCTGGGGACGCCCAAGGCCGGGGTCAGGGTGCAGAGGCGCTGCGAGGGGCCGGTACCGCGACTCCGTCTTAGTCGCCCGGCTCCCCAGGGCTCCTTGATCGTCTGTGAGTTCCTGCTGCAAAATGGAGCGGACGTGAACCAAAGAGACAGCCGGGGCCGGGCGCCCCTGCACCACGCCACGCTGCTGGGCCGCACCGGGTGAGGCGCGCAACCCACGCCCCGCCCCGCGCCCCGACCACGCCCACCCGCCCCGATCACGCCCCGGCCTGGCCACCCCCTGCCCGGCCACGCCCCGCGACCACACTCGTCCCGCCCTCCCTGCTCAAGCCCTGACGAGCTCTCCGCCCTCGCCTCTTAGCCAGGTTTGCCTGTTCCTGAAGCGGGGCGCGGACCAGCACGCCCTGGACCAAGAGCAGCGGGACCCGTTGGCCATCGCAGTGCAGGCGGCCAACGCTGACATCGTGACGCTGTGAGCGTGGTCGGGTCCTCGGGGCTGGGCGGGGCCTGCGGGCGGGGCCTCCAGGGCAGGGGCGGGGTCTCCAGAGCAAGGGCGTTACATGCTGCATCTCCCCGCAGGCTCCGTCTGGCGCGCATGGCGGAAGAGATGCGAGAGGCCGAGGCTGCCCCGGGTCCCCCGGGTGCCCTGGCGGGCAGCAGCCCCACGGAGCTCCAGTTCCGCAGGTGCATCCAGGAGTTCATCAGCCTCCACCTGGAGGAGAGCTAGGGCCGGGCAGGCCGGGCAGCTGCTACCCCGCCCGGCCCGACGCCCCGCATGCCCCGAAATCCCCGGCGCCCCACCCGGCCGCGGCCCTGCCTGTGAGCCGGGTCGATGCCTGGCAGCCCCAGTGCCGGGGCGCCCCGGCCCCGCTCGCCCAGGAGGAGAGCGAGGGCCCCGCACTGAGTCTCTTGAAGCCTCACATTTCCCTGGGGGGTGCTGCGTCATCGGGTGCCCCTCACCCCACCCGGGGAACCTCTATCTTCAGGTCACCCCTTTTAAGGGTCCTGGGTTGCTCATGTCACAAGCCACTCTCAAGGCCCGTGTCACTCTGTCCTCAGGGCCTGTGTCACTTCGTGCCCCACTTCTGCCCAGAACACTGACCTAGCTGGGTCCCTCCTGCACACCCCAGACCCCCTCCCAGGGCAGAAAGGGTGGCCCATACAGGGAACCAACGAGTACCTCACTTAGTGACCCCAGCATCCAGGCTGGCGTCACAGGTGCTGGGCGGGAGGGGCTCTGGCCTGGGTCCTCAGCCCTGGCTGGACGCGGGCGTCCCAAGGCCACGTGGCTGGCCATAAAGGTCCCCGTGCCAGACAGCCCCAGCCGCGTCCCAGCCTCCTCTGGAGGCACCTTCTCCCGGTACTCGGCCCAGAGCCTGTGCATAAAGCCACTTTGCCACTTTACAGCCCGCATCTCACGTTCTTTGTAGCAGACCGAGGAGGTTTGCTACAGGCCTCGTCTGACTTTGTCTTGCGTCTTTTCTCTGTGGACTCTTGAGGATGCCTGAGCCCCAGCCCTGCCCCTGGCCAGCTTCACCCTTGGGTCCAGGGGTCCCTTGGTTCATGTTGCAGGGCCTGCCAATGCCTTCACGCACCCCTTCCCCAAAGGCGCCCTGCAGAGAGGCGGGGCCTCCCCAGCTCGGCCCCAGGTCAGGCTAAGGCCAGTCACTATGCAATGCTGCCCCCGGGAGGCTCCATGAGGGCACAGTGGGCGCTGGACCCGGCCCCTCAACACTCTTGCCTGCTGCCTGTGACCCTGAAGAACAGAATTAATTCTTGCTCCTCTCCCTGTGTGACCTTGGCCCCACAACCTGCCCCAGGCCCCTGCTGGCGGTCTTACCCCCACCCCTCGCTTTGAATAAACCGCTTGCGCCCATCGCCTGCTCCTGGGCTCCTGTGCCTCGCTCTGCTCTGTCTCCGGGGAGTGCCTGCGTCCCCTGCCCTCCCCAAAGGGCATTCCTGAGCCAGGTAGCACTTGAGTCAGACTCCAACAGGCTGCACGAGGCCTGATGGGGGCCTGAGGCTGCTTTGACAAAATCTGGCTCCTGATGCCCCTGGCCCCCATTGTCTCACCCCTCTACCCTTCTCTGTCCTAGACTGAGTCCCCTGGTGGGAAGAGGGGTGTTGGGGTCAGGGCCAGGGGTCATTGGATGCGAACTGGCGAGGCTAGGCCGGGGCTGGTCCTGTCCTGGGCCCTGTGCCCAGGGAGGCGCCAGGTGCAGTCAGGGTTTCAGCTCACCCGGGACGGGTGGCTGGAGGGGCGCACAGGCACACACTGGCCACCAGGTGGAGTCCACAGCTTTATTTCAGAGCAGCCTGTGTGGGCGTGGGGGCCCCGCCTTGCCTTCTGCCTCCCCCCAGCTGAGGCAGCAACGATTGACACACACACGTAGGTGCATCAGACGTGTGGATGTGCAGAGACAGACATGGAGCATGGGCACATCACTGCGTGTCAGCACCTCCAGCTGCACTCGTGTGCACTCAGGAAGCCCCCTCCGCCCTGGGCCTCCTTCAGACCCGCCCCAGGCAGGGTGGGTGGTTGACCAGAGGCGCTGACGTGCCCAGCACCCTGCCTCCCCACGGCCCCGTGTGCTGCTTCCTCGGCCACTGGATGACCTGGGAAGGCCCTGCAGCCGCTGGTCGGGCCCACCCTGGGCCGCTGGGGAGCTTGCTGCTGCCACAGCTCCAAGGACCAGGCCGAGAGATCACACAGCCCTGGCAGGTCTGGTTCAGGTGTCCAGAGTCTCACAGGGCTGGGGCCCAGCCCAACTCTCTTCAGCTGAGACTCTCTCCAGAGCCCCTGGAAGCATCATCTGTGGGAGATGAGGCCTGCTGGGCCCCAGGTTGTCTGACGCCGCACCTGCAGGCGTGGGCATGTGACTGGCCTCTGGCTTGATGCTGGATGCCCCTGAGGCAGGGCTGGCTCTGGGCCAGGAGAACCACACCCTGCGGAGCCGGCGTCCGCCCAGCAACAGGGTGAGGGCCAAAGCGTCAAGCAGCAGCTCCAGGAGCTCCAGGAGGGAGAGGACGGAGGCCCCAAACCACAGGCTGCAGAGGCTGCCCATGGCTGAGAGCAGCTGCGGCACCTGAGGGTGGGGTGGGGCATGAGGGGCGGGCCTGGGCCCCATGCCCCTTCTGTGTGGGGCCAGCCACTGGCCCCGCCCCCACCCTAGCCCAGGCTGGGGGCCGAAGCTCACCGAGTACACGGGCGCCTCCTCCACCGAGCGGTAGTTGAGCTCCTGGTAGACAATGTTGATTTTGGCCAGGTTGCTCCTGGGGCAGGATAGAGGCACGAGGGTGCTGGCCCAGGCCTTCATGATGGGGAGGGGGGCTGTAAGGGGAGAGGGGCTGGGATGCCCCTCTGGAGGGTGAGGGTGCACTCACCTCTGTCTGTGGCTCTGACGTGGCAGCCCCTGTTCACCAAGCGCAGCCAGAGTCCAGTCCTGCTGGGAGCCGGGAAGGTTTGCTGTGGCCACGGCTCCCCCATGCCCCCAGCCATCCCGGGTACCATGGATGGATGTGGGGGCAGAGACCACAGCGCACAGGCTGGGTCAGCCCTGGCCCTGCCCTTGTCTTGGGTGGGCTCTGTGGGTCCTGTGGGGTCTGCCTGGCTGGTCGCACCCCCACGCCACCCCTTTGGGGACTCACAGCCGACTTGGCGGAAGGCCACCGGGAGGTCCCAGAGGAGAGCTTGAATGCAGATTCCCTGGAAGAGACAGCCAGGGCGTCACCTGCCAGCTGCTCAGGGCGATGACCCCTGGCCCTGACCCCAACACCCCGTCTCACCTGCAGGGCCTGGGGCAGCGGGAGGTGCAGGGGAGCCGGTGGGTCTCCAGGTCCTGGTAGAGGCGGTAGAAGCAGTGTCCTGGGGGAGGGGTCAGGGGCATGTGTGAGGCTTGCCATGACCCCCGGCTCATGGCTGGCAGAGTGGGAGGCCGTGGGCAGGACTCACCCCAGGCAGGGTGCCGGGCAGAGCTGCAGTGCTCAGCCCCCGTCGGCAACGGGTAGAGGTAGTAGCCACAGGAGCAGGTCTCCACCATCAGCTGCTGGAAGCAGGACACCAGGCAGGCCTGGGGACACGGGGGATGGAATGGGGACATGGGGGACAGAGCAGGGACACGGGGGACGGAGCGGGGACACGGGGGATGGGAGTTGGAGTGGGGACATGGGGGATGGAGACACGGGGGACAGAGTGGGGATACAGGGGATGGAGTGGGGACACGGGGGACAGAGCTGGGACACGGGGAATGGAGTGGGGACATGGGGGATGGGGGACCGAGTGAGGATATGCGGGACAGAGCTGGGACACGAGGGACAGAGGAACAGAGCGGGGACATGGGGGATGGAGTAGGTACACAGGGGACGGAGTGGGGGCCTCCATGGGGACTGCCCCTTTCCCAGGCCCTCCGGTACCCTCCAAGACCCCTCCCCCATTCCCCCCGTGCCCCCCGTCAGCCCCGCCCCCCCCCCCCCCCCGCGCCCCCCAGCTCAGCCTCACCTGCCTGGTGTAGGAGGTGTTGTATAGCAGCTCCACCTCCACGCCCTCCCCGCCTGACATGCAGTGGCTGTAGGGCCTCCCGAGCCGGTGCACCTCATCCTGGGAGGGGACGCTTCAGTTCCAGGGGCCCTGCCCCCACCCCCCAAAGCCCAGGTTGGGCAGGAGGCCTGGGCCGGAGGTGGGCTGCAGAGACCGGCTCACCTCTCGGATGCTGATGGTGGCCTCCGTCCCTGGCCGGACGCTGAAGCTGTGGTACCCCAGGAAGGGCGTGTGGTTACGGCCGTGAACCATGACCTTGACGCCGGCCCTCGTGGACAGCAGAGGGAGGTGAGGCTGCTGCTCAACCCTGAGGACGAGGCCGACTCCTGGGAGGCCAAGAGCTGGTGTGAGGCCACCTGACCTGCACCACTTCCCCCACACCGGCCAGGGGCTGGCACTCACCATGGGTGATGCCAGGGCGCTGAGCTGTCCAGACGCCGTCAACCGTATAGCAGCTGCCATAGGTGGGGTGATGGAAGGTCCAGAACTGCCTGGTATGAGACGCCGAGCTCAGACCCTGAATGTTGGCCGCCTGCATCCATCACGCTGGTCTGAGGGGCCGTGGCCAGCCTTGGGCGGCTCCCAGCATTCAGCTGGAGGAACCCCAGGGGTGTGGCCATGCTCTGGGGGGCGGGACGGAGGGAGTGGCCCCCGCCCGCCGCACTCAGCGGGCCTGGCAGTCCATGCCGTCGTAACTGCAGGAGAGGACGAAGTGGCCGTCCTGGCGCCCGTGGCTGTCCTCCCACGCCGCGGGCAACAGGGCTAGGATGTCCACATAGTGGAAGCGGTACCAGTCCTGCACGGCCACCACACCGGACGCGTAGCTGCGGTAGAAGCAGTCGCCGCCCGTGCTGTTGCACTGGGGGAGGGGAGGGAGGGTCAGCTCTGTGGCCAGCAGCAGTCCAGGCCCTGCTCCCCACTTGAGGCCCTGATGGCCACAGGCCCTGGCTGGGACACTCACCAGTCTGAACCCCACTCTGCCCCGGCTGCCCGAGTGGCTCAGCCTCTGTAGACGGATCTCCCGGTCCAGGTGGAAGCGGGGCTCGCGGCGGGGGACGGCAGTGGAGAGGGCGTCTCTGCCTTTGCTGAAGTTGACCTTGTACAGGGAGTCAATGTTCTCCCTGGCAAACTCGTCCAGCAGCTCCAGATGGCGGAGGACCAGACTCGGCCTGGGAAGCAGGGCCCTGGAGTCAGAGTCACCAGCCCGGGGCCCTACATTGGCTCCAGCATCCCAGTGGATGCTGTCGGGACAGCAGCGCCTCCCCCACTCAGGATGCCCAGCGGGATGAGCTGGACCCGGAGCTGGAATTGGAGGTCGGCCCCAGAGTCCGGCCTGCTCACAGCCCCTCCCATCTTCCCTCCTTCTGGAACGCTCCACCCTCCCCCACCTCTCCTCCCAGGCTCCCGAGGCCCGGTGTCCCTCCAGGGTGGCACTGACCACACTGAGCTCCCTCCTCGGCTACAGGGGCCAGTGGGGCTTTGGTCAGGGACGGTCACAGGGGTGAGGAGCTAGGGCGGCCACCCCTCCCGCCGACAGCCCTGGCCCTCACCGGCGTGGGTTCCCGTCACACAGGGTGACCAGCGGGAGCAGCTTGCGCTCTGAGTGTACAGAGACGGCCATGAGGACCGGGCGGTGCCAGTGATGCTCCAAGAGGTGCCCCAGCTGCCAGCAGAGTGCGACCAGGGCTCCCAGGAACAGCAGCCCCCAGGACGTCGTCTTGAGGCGGTTCCTGCTGGAGCAGACCAGGCGGATGGTACCGTGGATGGTGGCGTTGGTGCAGAAGAAGGTGAGCAGCTCCCGGAACGAGACGGGCAGCTCCACCAGTCCCTCCTGGTGTCCCTCCTGGTGCCCCTCCTTGGGCGGCAGCAGTGGTGCTGATGGTGGCCCCAGCCTGGGGGGCGTCTGGGCTGCACCCTGCGTGTAAAGCGGCCTCAGCAGGGCCCAGCCTGCAGCCACTCAGGCCTCCCCACCCTGGCCTGTCGTGTCCCTCAGCCACCCGTGCCCCGCGCTGCCTGCTTGGTTGCTCGGACAAGCCCCTCGCGGGGTGCTCCACGCTGCGCCCTTCCCCCCGGACACACCTGCCCTGGCACGTGTTAGGAGCTGAGTTTGAGTTTGAGCAGCAGGACTCAGAGAACAGGGTGTCCGGGCCCCGCCTGGCCCCGTTTGCAGCAGGCTGTTCTGAGTGGGTCTGTGCTGCCGTCCCTACAGGTGGCCTCTGGGGAGCCACAGGCCCAGGTGATCCACCCAAAAGGCAAGGACTGTAGCGTGTCCATGGGCCCAGCATGGGGGTCTGGGGCCCTGGGGAAGACTTGCCTTTCTTGCCCCTGATGGCTGCACCCACCCCAGCCCCCAGTGTGGCCTGCTGAGGACTGACTGTGCCAGGCCCGTCCAGCCAAGTCCGGGAAGCGTCTGGCCTAGACACTGCTCGGCACTGTGGCCCAGGGTGGCCCCACTGAGCTGAATGCCGAGGCGGGCGGTGGAGACACAAGGGCCCCAGGAAACCCAGTCACTGCCTGCCCAGTCCTGTGCCGGAGGCTCTGGGGTCCTGGGATAGGCCCAGCTCCCGCAGCCAGCTTGGAGGGGCCGCAGACGTGCGGATTCACACCACGACGACTCCTTCAGGATTTTCACACCGTCCGTCTTGGTCTGGATCTGTGAGGCTTCAGTCCTGTCCCACTGCCCAGGCCTGCACTGAGGTACTCTGGGGAGGTGCTAGAACGAGCCAGAAGCTTCGGGGCCTGCAGACACTGGGTGGAGGTGGCTCCCCTCGGGTGTGTGGCCCCCACAGGCCTCCAGGCAGCCTGGCCAGGAGCTCCACCACCGGGCACATGGCTCTGCTCACTCCGCGTCCCCCCGGCCGTTCTGAGCAGGGAGGCTAAGAGGCTCGGAAAGTCTGACTCCAGTCCCCACGCCTCATCTCCACCTGGCGCATAGACAGGGCAGCGCCATCCCCCATAGCGGGGGCTGCCAGGCCAGGAGAAGTGGGAGCATTGGATTGGGGTCTGGAGGGCCAGTCAGGGCCCCCAGGGCTTCTCAGATGAGGCAGGGCCTGGACCCCCAGTCAGAGAGAAGCCAGACCCCACCCTGCATGTGCACGTGCATGCGTGTGTGTGAGACAGGACGACGCTGGCCCCTCCACCCCACCTGCCTCTGTGCTGTGTCACGTGGCCAACACGTGTTCACGTGTGGGCAACCCATGGGGTGTGCGGCGCCTGGACGCGCAGTGTCTGCAGTGTTCTCCAGGGTCTCTCCAGTACACGCTATGTACCCCCAATGGGACACAGCCCTTTCCAGGGTAAGGAGCACTCAGGGATGACCTGCCCCATCGCCACGGTGCAATACTGTTCCTGATGGCACACAGGGCCAGGCATCGGAAGGAGACCCCCAACCCAGCCCCTGGTACCTTGAGGTGGGAGCCCCCCACACCCACCCCAACCCCCCCACGGTACCTCGAGGCAGGGCCCCCTCACCCCAACCTCCCACCGCGACCCCCCTCACCCCAACCCCCTACCGTACCTGGAGGTGGGACCCCCCCTGTGCGGCTGCTTCCATTCTCCCGTTCATGCTTAGGCGCTCAGCCATCGAGGGAGCAGCTGGCAGCTCTGAAGCAGGATGGAGCCTGTGGCCTCCTATTTAAAACAGGCCGACTGGGCGTGGGGCCGTGCTGCAGGCGAGGGAGGGCCCAGCCAGGGTGGCCACACCTGCCCCGGACCCAGAAGGGGAATTCCTGGGGGACAGAGATGCCCATCCCTCTGCAGGCCTTTCCCATCCTGAGCCCTGCAGGGGAGGACCGAGGTCCTGACCCTGGCTGAGTAAGGGGCTGTAGCCTCTGTAGGGAGGGGGAGGGCAGTGTTGGGCTGAGACCCCCTGAAGCCTTTCTTTCTTTCTTTTCTTTCTTTCTTTTCTTTCTCTCTCTTTCTTTCTTTCTTTCTTTTCTTTCTTTCTTTCGCTCTTTCTTTTTCCTTCCTTTTCTTTCTTTTTCCTTCTTTCTTTTCTTTCTCTCTCTCTCTTTCTTTTTCCTTCCTTTTCTTTCTTTTTCCTTCTTTCTTTTCTTTCTTTCTTTTTTCCCTCTCTCTGTCTCTCTCTTTCTTTTTCCTTCTTTCTTTCTTTTCTTTCTTTCTTTCTCTCTTTCTCTCTTTCTCTCTCTCTCTCTCTCTCCCTCCCTCCCTCTCTCCCCCTCTCCCTCTCTCTCTCTCTCTCTCTGTCTCTCTCTCTCTGTCTCTCTCTCTCTCTCTCTTTCTTTTTGAGATGGAGTCTCACTCTTGTTGCCCAGGCTGGAGTGCAGTGGCGCAATCTCAACTCATTGCAACCTCCACCTCCCGGGTTCAAGCAATTCTCCCGCTCCAGCCTCCTCAGTAGCTGGGATTATAGGCATGTGCCACCATGCCCGGCTAATTTTGTATTTTTAGTAGAGATGGGGTTTATCCATGCTGGTCAGGCTGGTCTTGAACTCCCAACCTCAGGTGATCCGCTCACCTCAGCCTCCCAAAGTGCTGGGATTACAGGCTTGAGCCACCGTGCCCAGTCCGGAAGCGCCATCTTTCTCTGCCGGCTCCTGGAACTCAGATCCGGGGCTGTGGTGGGCTCCCAGCAGTCCCTCCCTTCCCTGCAGCTCTGACCACAAGAGTGTGTGGCTGACAGACACTGGGTGGGGACCTCAGCTCCCAGATCCAGTGTCTCTCGGGACCAGAGGCCCAGCCACTGGGACAGGTGCTAATGTGGGAACCACCAAGGGCCCGGTGTGGAGATGGCACCTGCTCCCCTGAGCGGGCACAGGGGCTCACCCTCCCTGCTGGACACTACAGCCACCACCAACCACACCACACATTAAGATGACGCATCACACGCTAATATGACGTGTCACATGCTAAGGGCGCAGCATGTTTTCAGTCCACACTCACACCACGCACACCAAGATGCTGGCACACATGAAAGTGACTCACGACGGCTGGGCACAGTGGCTCACGCCTGTAATCCCAGCACTTTGGGAGGCCGAGGAGGGCGGATCACGAGGGCAGGAGATCGAAACCATCCCGGCTAACACAGTGAAACCCCGTCTCTACTAAAAATACAAAAAATGGCCGGGCGCGGTGGCTCAAGCCTGTAATCCCAGCACTTTGGGAGGCCGAGACGGGCGGATCACGAGGTCAGGAGATCGAGACCATCCTGGCTAACACGGTGAAACCCCGTCTCCACTAAAAAATACAAAAAACTAGCCGGGCGAGGTGGCGGGCGCCTGTAGTCCCAGCTACTCGGGAGGCTGAGGCAGGAGAATGGCGGGAACCAGGGAGGCGGAGCTTGCAGTGAGCTGAGATCCAGCCACAGCACTCCAGCCTGGGCGACAGAGCGAGACTCCGTCTCAAAAAAAAAAAAAAAAAATACAAAAAATGAGCCGAGCATGATGGCAGCGCCTGTGGTCCCAGCTACTCGGGAGGCTGGGGCAGGAGAATGGCAGAGTGAGACTCCATCTCAAAAAAAAAAAAGAAAGTGACTCACGACACGCTAAGACCTCACATATGCTAAGACCACACACATGCTAAGACTATGCACACACTAAGACCTCAAACATGCTAAGACCTCACACACGCTAAGACCATGCACACACTAAGACCTCACACATGCTAAGACCTCACACACGCTAAGACCATGCACACGCTAAGACCTCACACATGCTAAGACCACACACATGCTAAGACCGTGCACACGCTAAGACCTCGCAATGCTAAAACCACACACACGCTAAGACCTCGCACATGCTAAAACCACACACACGCTAAGACCACATGCTACTGTCAGAGTCCAAATCACAGTCTCCCAGGCTGGCATCTTCAGCCCCAGCGTGGTTGTGTGTGGAAAGCAGGTGTCCCTGTCCCCCAGGACCACCCCACCCCTGTCTACTGTGGGACCCTAGATATCCAGGTGGCCTCACCATCCCAGATGACCAGATGCAGCCGGGCCCAGGTTGGAAGGGTGGGCTCTGTGTTCCTGACATCCTGCCCCAAGTGGTCCCTGGCTTGGCTGGGGGAGCCCAGCCCCACAGGGTCCAGCAGCAGAGCCATGGCTCTGAGGAGGATGAGGTCACCTGCCTGCAGGCTCTGGAAGGAAGCAGCTGCCACCAGTGACGTCCCGGAGAGGGAAGTCGTGCTGGAGTCACCCAGGCCCTTGAGAATCACAGCTTCGTCACTGGTTGTGTGGCCTTCCCGAGTTACTCAACCTCTCTGCGCTGATTTCCTCGAGTGCTAGATGGAGCTGGGGCGCCTCTGCAAGCTCGTGGCAGGGGGAGCTGATGTCACAGAGACCCCACAGGCCAGCGGCAGGGCCCCCAGACACAGCACAGGCCTGGGCATCTCCCCCACCACATCTGGGCAGCTTGGTGGCCGCACCTGCCGAGGAGACAGGGCACACATGGCCCAGGGGCTACTTGGCAGCCGGGGCAAGGTCCTAGGTGCTTGTTAGCGATTGTGGCTGGAAGCAACCTGCATCTCCCTGTGTCCCTGGGAGTGGCCTGGCAGAGAGCCTGGCCTTGGTGCAGGGTGCAGAGAGGGAGAGAGCCCAAGTCCGGCCAGAGGGGCCTGGTCCAGCCAAAGGGCAGCATACAGGGAGCAAGGCCCCCGGCTTCCTGTGGGAGGGGGAGCCCTGGCAGGGGCAGGGCACACCTTCAATGACCCAAGCCCTGCAGGGCCTGAGTCCAAGCACATCTCAGTTGGATCACGCAGCTCCCAGCTACACTCTCCTCCCATCCCCCTGGAGAAGGCCTTGAAGGGCTGAGGTTCAGTCACCCGTCCCACACCCCTGTATCGGGCCAGAAAGGAGGCAGAGGGGGTGGCCACAGAGCATATGTCCAGTGCTGGTGAAGCCAAATGGTCCTCCCCTCTTCTGGGTCATCCCCTCGCTGGCCTGGTGCAGGGGGTGGGGTGGGGCGAATCCAGTTCCTGGCATGTGGGGGTCCTGTGGTCACTGCACCATGACCACGTGAGCCTGAATGAGAGAAGGGACGGGCAGGCATCCCTGGCTCCCTTTGGCCCCATGCCTCGGCCCTTTCCCGGGAAGGACGGCCAGGCCCCATTTACCGAGCAAGGCTGGGAGCTCACCCCTTTGGGCCACTAAGGTAGCCAGGCCACAGGTAATGAGGGAGCGGTGTTGTCTCCCATGCCAGCGCCGCCCTGGAGATGGCAGGCGCCTGGCATCTGTGGGACCCCAGCCAGGACCTCCTACCCCAGAGCCCAGTTTCTTCCCCTGGGGTGAGCATCCCCCACTCAGGGTCACTCTGAGTCAGCCCTGGGAGGGTTCTGATGCAACAGACATGCAGCCCAAGGTCAGGATTCCTGTGGGCGTGGGCAGGTCAGGAGTGGCTTGGGGCCTCTCTGGGGTCCTGTACCCAGGCAGGTGAAGAGCCTCCCAGGCAGAGGCCCCTCAGCCCTGGGCATCAGTTGCACTGTCTGGTGGAGCCCCCACAGAACAGGCACTAAGGTGCCCCCAGCTGCTAGCCTGGGTGGGTGCTGAGGGTGGGAGGGTGGAGCCTGGGGTCTGGCCGGTGTCCCCCACTGGGAGGAGTGAGGTGTGTGTGGGCTGCCTTCTAGGTTCCCTCATAAACCAAAAATAAAATTATAAGCCCTGAACTGTCTGAATGGACCCCTGGTCTCAGCCACGGGCATTCCAAAGTTAACCTGAAAAACTAGCTCAGCCATTATGGGAAGGGGGTAGGACGCACCTCGTGCCTCCTCCCTGTTGGAATTCACGCACAGCTGACCAGCATCAGCATCACCTCAGACCTTGAGTCGGACGAGAAGTATTTATAGTTGCTTCTCTCTGAGGCCTGTGACCTGATAGCTTCATCTGTGATAAAACCTTCATCTCCATAACCCTATATTGTAATCAGACATTCCCTTCTACTGATAATAACTCTTTCCACCATTTGCCAATCAGATTTTTTTTTTTTTTTTCCAAGACAGAGTTTTGCTCTGTCGCCCAGGCTGGAGTGCAGTGGTGTGACCTCAGCTCACTGCAGCCTCTGCCTTGTAGGTTCAAACGATTCTTCTGCCTCAGCCCCTCCAGTAGCTGGGATCACAGGCACGTGCCACCACACCCTGATAATTTTTGTATTTTTTGTAGAGATAGGGTCTTGTCATGTTGCCCAGGCTGATCTTGAACTCCTGGGTTCAAGTGATCTGCCTACCTCGGCCTCCCAAAGTGCTGGGATTATAGGTGTGAGCCGCTGCACCTGGCCCAGAAAAATTTTAAATCTACCTATGACCTGGAAGCCCCCGTTCGAGTTGTTCCACCCTTCCAGATGGAACCAATGTAAATCTTACATGTATTGATTGATGTCTCATATCCCTAAAATGTAAGGCAGGGCGCGGTGGCTCACCCCTGTAATCCCAGCACTTTGGGAGGCCAACGCAGGAGGATCACAAGGTCAAGAGATCGAGACCATCCTGGCCAACACAGTGAAATCCTGTCTTTACTAAAAATACAAAAATTAGCTGGGCATGGTAGTCCCAGCTACTTGGGAGGCTGAGGCAGGAGAATGGTGTGAACCCGGAAGGTGGAGCTTGTAGTGAATGGAGATCACGTCACTGGACTCCAGCCTGGGCGACACAGCGAGACTCCATCTCAAAAAAAAAAAAAAAAGTGGCCGAGCGCGGTGGCTCAAGCCTGTAATCCCAGCACTTTGGGAGGCCGAGACGGGTATATCACGAGGTCAGGAGATTGAGACCATCCTGGCTAACACGGTGAAACCCCGTCTCTACTAAAAAATACAAAAAACTAGCCGGGCGAGGTGGCGGGTGCCTGTAGTCCCAGCTACTCGGGAGGCTGAGGCAGGAGAATGGCGTGAACCCGGGAGGTGGAACTTGCAGTGAGCTGAGATCCGGCCACTGCACTCCAGCCTGGGCGACAGAGCGAGACTCCGTCTCAAAAAAAAAAAAAAAAAGTACGAAAGCAAGCTGTACCCACACCACCTTGGGCACGTGTCGTCAGGACCTCTGAGGCCCTGTCCCGGGCACGGCCTTAACCTTGGCAAAATAAACCTTTTAAATTGGTTGAGATGTGTCTCAGATACTTCTGGATTCGCACCTTGGTAACCATGAAGGGCTTCTGAATGGAGGTGCCCCTGACCTTTGACAGATTTCCTATTGGTGCCTGGTACCAGCTAAAGCTCTCCTTATGGCTCAAACCAATAGGACAATTTACGGAGGCCTCAGAGCTCCCCACACAACTCCTGACCTCTCAGAATTTGGTAGAGATCTGAAGTTTATTTTGCTGTATGAATCATTTTCTGGAGTTTTACTTGCTTCCATGACAGTGGATGGCTGGTAACTTCTGGAGTTCGAGCTCACATCCAACAGGGAAGGGGAGTTCGAATTTTAGTTCCTGTTTTCAGGAGGGTAGACAGCAGTCTTGAACGGGGCCCCATTCCTAGGGAAGCAGCGGAATTAGGGTTTTTGTCTTGGAAATCCTCCTTAATGACTAAAATTGACAACCAGCTGGTCTTTTTTTTTTTTTTTTTTTTTTTTTTGAGACGGAGTCTTGCTGTGTGGCCCAGGCTGGAGTGCAGTGGCCCAATCTCGGCTCACTGCAAGCTCCACCTCCCAGGTTCACACCATTCTCCCGCCTCAGCCTCCGAGTAGCTGGGACTACAGGCGCCCGCCACCTCGCCCGGCTAGTTTTTTGTATTTTTAGTAGAGACGGGGTTTCACCGTGTTAGCCAGGATGGTCTCGATCTCCTGACCTCGTGATCCACCCACCTTGGCCTCCCAAAGTGCTGGGATTACAGGCTTGAGCCACTGCGCCCGGCCCCTTTTTTTTTTTTTTTTTTTCCAGACAGAGTCTTGCTCTGTCACCCAGGCTGGAGTGCAGTGGCGTGATTTCGTCTCACTGCAACCTCCACCTCCTGAGTTCAAGTGATTCTCCTGTCTCAGCCTCCGAGTAGCTGGGACTACAGGCGCCCGCCACCACGCCCGGCTAATATTTGTATTTGTAGTAGAGACGGGGTTTCACCGTGTTAGCCAGGATGGTCTCAATCTCCTGACCTCGTGATCCGCCCGCCTTGGCCTCCCAAAATGCTGCGATTACAGGTGTGAGCCACCCCAACTGGCCGCCTTTTTCTTAAGACAAGGAGAACGACCCCGTTTTTTTCTAGCTCAGATGTGCACCCCTGGGGTCTTCTCTGTTGCTTTTTCTCCCAGAATTAAGCCCAACTGGCTTGTCCGTGCGTTTGTATGAGGAACTGAATTGTTGTTTGTATAGACAAATGAGAGACTGAGTTTTCTCAGCTCCAGAAAGAATGGCATTTTGCTCCTCGCACCTGAAAGGCGCCCCTGGGTGACTGTGAGCCAAGTGGGTGTGTCTTGTGGGCTGATCCCCCCCGACATGCAGCAGCTCCCCAGGGACCCCCAACGCAATCAGTTTAAAGACTCGTCCAGGAGATGCAGGCAGGAGCTGCTCACTCCGTGTTCTGAGTCCTCTCAGAGGTGCTGGACTTCTAGAGAGAGAAACTGAGACACGTAAGAGGGCGAGGATGCCTCAGTGGTGACACATTGTGGAGTCCCGCCCACGACCCGTCCACAATCGTCACACTCAACCCGCTCCACGGAACCACAACCCAGTTCCTCCTTTCAAGAAAAAAAAAAGTGGGAAATAAATAATGTAAGACTCAGGAAAGACGGGGAACTACCTCCTTCCAGGCACCCACTGGTTTTACGGCGCCTCTACTTGCAAGTGTTGATGTAAAACTGAAAATGTCAAGGGCATGCTGGGTGTCCTAGTGCCCCAGCTGGCTTCATATTATGGTCTTTTGGGGCACGTTTTAAACTGATGGGCAAATTTCATCCAGGAAAAATTCAGAGCCCAAAGGTCGGACTGCAACTATAGAACTACAGAGTTCCTGGCCAGGTGCGGTGGCTTACCCTGTAATCCCAGCACTTTGGGAGGCCAAAGTGGGTGGATCACCTGAGGTCAGGAGTTTGAGACCAGCCTGGCCAACAGGGTGAAACCCCATCGCTACTAAAAATACAAAAATGAGCCGGGCGTGGTGGCATTCACCTGTAATCCCAGCTACCTAGGAAGCTTAGGCAGGAGAATAGCTTGAACCTGGAAGGCGGAGGTTGCAGGGAGCCGAGATCGTGCCATTGCACCCCAGCCAAGGCCACAAGAGCAAAACTCTGCTTCAAAAAAGAAAAAAAAAGAACTGTAGAGTTCCTAAGTTCTCTACCTCTCTGTTTCCTTTGCTGCCTGCTTTAAAGTTGCTGTTACTTTTTTCTTTTTTCAGACAGAGTCTCACCGTGTCGCCCAGGATGGAGTGCAGTGGTGTGATCTTGGCTCACTGCAACCTCTGCCTCCTGGGTTCAAGTTATTCTCCTACCTCAGACTCCCAAGTAGCCGTAGCCGGGATTACAAGTGTGCGCCACCATGCCTGGCTAATTTTTGTAAATTTAGTAGAGACGTGGTTTCACCATGTTGGCTAAGCTGGTCTTGAACTCCTGGTCTCAGGCAATCCGCTCGCCTTGGCCTACCAAAATGCCAGGATGACAGGTGTGAGCCACTGTGCCCGACCAGTTGTTACTTTTCTACTGAGATGACATCCACAGTTTGCATCTAGATGTTTCTTTCTGTTATTGTTTTTCTAACCAGTGACTTTGTGTTGATATGTCATGGTTAGAGGTGTAAAGCAAAAGCTGTAGGGTTTTTGTATGAGTGTGTATGTGTGTTCAGATGTGTTTATGTGTACATATGTGGATTCTGTTATATGTTTTATGGCCATAAGGTACCAAATTAGCTTAAGTTAAGGAGTACCCATACATTTAGTACATAATAACAAATTTCACGTGACTTAAGTAAAATCTTTTTTTTTTTTTTTTTGAGATGGAGTCTCGCTCTGCCCCCAGGCTGGAGTGCAGTGGCATGATCTCGGCTCACTGCAAGCTTCACCTTCTGGGTTCAGGCCATTATCCTGCCTCAGCCTCCTGAGTAGCTGGGACTACAGGTGCCTGACACCACGCCTGGCTAATTTTTTGTATATTTTAGTAGAGACGGGGTTTCACCATGTTAGCCAAGACAGTCTTGATCTCTTGACCTCGTGATCCGCCCGCCTCGGCCTCCCAGAGTGCTGGGATTACAAGCATGAGCCACTGTGCCCAGCCAAAAGTATTGGTAAAGTAATATAAAAAGTGTCTTTAAAACTGTCAGCATACATTTTTGTTTGCATTCATTGATTTATAAGGGGTCAAAACTTGGCATAAGCATTAATAAAACTCTAAACCCAGCTGAATGCCATGCATGGTGGCTCACGCCTGTAATCCCAGAACTTTGGGAGGCCGAGGCAGATAGATCACCTGAGATCAGGAATTTGAGACCAGTCTGGCCAACATGGCAAAACCCCGTCTCTACTGAAAAATACAAAAATTAGCCAGGTGTGGTAGCGCATGCCTGTACTCCCAGCTACTCAGGAAGCTGAGGCAGCAGAATCACTTGAACCTGGAAAGGGGAGGTTGCAGTGAGCTGAGATCGAGCCATTGCACTCCAGCTTGGGCAACAGAGTGAGACTGCATGTAAAAAAAAAAAAAAAAAAAATTATAGGAAAACGTTCTTTCTACAAAATTTCTTATTAAAAGGTAAATAATTTTGTCTAATTCAAAGCTTATTTAAAGTTTATGTATAAAATGAAGTAAAAAGAACAAGAAAATAAGGGAGACTGAGGGAAGTTATAGATATAAAGAGGTCTTTTTGTTAAATAAGGTTAAAAGAAAAATAATTTTATATGAGAAAGAATCTTGTAGGGTAAATGTCCTTAAATAAATGACTGGTTGTTTTAAAAAAGGGATGTTCAGGACCATCTAGAAAGTCCACAGGTCGTGAATGGTCTGTGTAAGCTGCAATACATTTAGTAAAAAAAGAATGTATAAAAATGTTACATGATAGGTCGGGCATGGTGGCTCATGCCTGTAATCCCAAAATTAGCCAGGCGTGGTGGTGCACGCCTATAGTTCCAGCTGCTCAGGAGGCTGAGGCAGGAGACTCAGTGGAACCCGGGAGGCGGAGGCTGCAGTGAGCCGAGATCAGGCCACTGCACTCCAGCCTGGGGGACAGAGAGAGACTTCATCTAAAAAAAAAAAAATTGTTTTAAGGGGTAATGAATGCTGGTCCATGTCCATTCCTATCTGGCCTAGAAATTTTAATGGGCTGTAAATCTTTTAACTCTAAGTCCCTGGGTTGTAGGGAGTCCTACTGAGGGGCAGGATTGACCCAGGGTAGGCAGCCATACCAGCCCAGCAATGCTATGAGACACAATAAAGATTTGGTAGCCATTGATGTTGCCTCTGGCAAATCTTGGCCAGAAGGGGTGAATGCAAACCAAAAATTAAACCCTAAGGCCCCCCAACCATCCGCATGGAGCCCTCCTCTCAGCCAAGGACATTCCAGTGTTAACCTGGAAACTTGCTCAGGCCATGGTGGGAAGGGGTTGTAGGTCATACCTCCTCCCTTTTGGAATTCAGGAAAAGCTGACCAGCATTAACATCAACATAGGCCTTAAGTCTGATAGGAAACATTTACAAGGTATTCTCTCTGAAGCTGGAGACCCGAGGCTTCAGCTGCATGGAAAACCACAACCCCTTACTGAAACCCAGACATTCCTTTCTGTTGATAGTAACTCTTTCAACCAACTGTCAATCAGAATCATTTTGAATCTACCTATAACCTAGAAGTCTCCCCACACCACCCCAACTTATCCTGCCCTTTCCGATTGAACCCGTGTAAATAAATCACGTCTCCCTAAAATGTATAAAAGCAAAAGCTGTGCCACAAGCACCTTGGGCACCTCCTGAGGCTGTCATGGGTGTGTTCTTAACCTTGGCAAAACAAATTTTCTAACCTTCCTCAGATGCTTTTGGGTGTGCACCCTCCAGGTTGGGATTCTCTGTCCCTCAAGCCCCCACCGGCCAGACAGTCCCTGCTGTTCAGAGGCAGCCCAGGCTTTCTGGTCTGACCCTGGGGGCTGGAGGAGGTGGGGGCAGGAGGTGGCAACTGGGTTGGGGGATGTTTCATTGGGTCCCCAAAGCAGAGGGTGCCCCCCACTGCCCAAGATGCTGAGGGTGGTCCCTGTTGTCCTATTCCTGAAGATGCCAGAGGAAGTCCCTCCTGAGGGCCGGCCCACAGCAGAAGGGCTGCTCCTGCCCTCGGAGGGCAATCTCAGGGTTGAGAAGGTTACAGCCACCATCCGCCACCAACCTAGCTGCTTGTGCCGATCCCACTGGCTAAGGCCTGGGCAGCCTGTGTCCTGCTTACCAGAAGGCCACAAATGCAAGTGGGTGGGGTAAGGGCCATGGTGGGGGGTTGGCAAGGCATGCTGGCCACACCTGTCCCGGGCACCTTCTCCCTGGGGTGTGACTCAGCCATGCTCCTGAGCAGGATCCTCTGAGCTGAGCCTCACTGCAGCCTTCCCACCTGCAGAGTCCCCAAAGGTGCACTCTCATCACACACGACTGAGGGACAAACAAGGCAGGGCGGGCCTCCATCTGCCACGGGCCACAGCTGTGAGCGTGCAAGCGAGTGGACGTGCCGGTGCCTGTATCTGCGGCCGGTGTGGCTTCCCTTACATAACTTTCCATGCTGTAAAAACAGCTCGGCCCGCCCTGCATGGGAACGGCAGAGGCCTGAGAGGAGGCAGAGGAAGGAGGCTGGATGCTGAGCTGTTTTCCGAAGGTGGTGCCTGTGACCTCAGGAATGGAGGCCGGCTGGATTCCCACGGGCTGAGGCTGTGTGGACATTCCTCCTGGCTTCTGCCCCAGGACCTGCAGCAGCGTCTCAGACCGCCACCAAGGTGTCTCGGAGGGGCAGAGTCAGGCTGAGCATGGACACAGCCTGCCCTCTGCCCGTAGCCACAGCGGGACCCACCCTTAGTGTTCAGCCACCTTGCTGACCTGTGGTTGTCCCTGAGAGGCCATCAGGGTTGGGGCAAAGGACAGGGCCACAGGCAGCCAGGTGGCGAGGTCCACCTCCCGAACCCCCACCGGGGGACCACCCTCAGCTCCCCGCTGTCCTTAGCTGCCTCTCGGGGAGGCGGTGGGCTGTGTGCCTGCCCTCAGCGTCCCACCCCAGCGCCCGGCCACCTACAGCTCCCTCCCAATGTGTCTGGGGTCAGAGAGAGGTGGAGAGGACGCAGCGCCCCGCGCTTTCTGCAGTCTGTCCAGAGGGAGGTCGGGGCGTCCCGGGACTGGGCCAGGCACCTGCAGGGGGAGGGTGCTGGGGCAGGGGCGTCCCGGGGCTCGGAAGGCACCTGCTGGGGGAGGGTGCTGGGGCGGGGACGTCCCGGGGCTGGGAAGGCTCCCGCAGGAGAGGGTGCTGGGGCGCGGACGTGGGTCGCAAAGCGATCCCACGCGTGTCACTCTCGGGTCCCTGAACGAGCCAGGCCTCCAGGCGCCCGGGACGCTCCACGCCGGGGCCGCGCCGCGCCTCCCCTAAGGGCCGGGCAGGGTGTGGGAGCGGAGGACAAGGCGGGAGCTGGGAGGCGGGAAGGTCGGGGTCCTTTCTCCACCAGGGTCGCCCTCAGCCGAGCCTGCCGCCCTGGGCCGTGGCACGTGGGGACGTAAGCGCGCGGGTTCGGGGTCCGGGGCTTTCGCGCCCACTAACGGTGCCCGCAGCCGCCCGCCAGTGCGCACGCGCCGACCGCCCCGCCCTCCCCGCCCGGCGCCGACGGCGACAGAGAGTCGTGGGCGCGGTCCTCCAGGCTGCCTAGAGCGGCGCCCCGCCCCCCAGGGACCGCGCACCGGAAGCAGAAACTAGGCTGGTTCCGCCCCGCGAGCGGCCATCTTGGAGGTTGAGGCGGCGGCGGTCCTGCGACGGGTTCGGTGGGCCCAGTCGCGGCGCGGTGTGGCTGTTTCGGGCGCGGGCCCCGCTTTTCCGCACCCTGCTCCGGCCTCGACCACGGCGAGCCTGAGCGCGGCGGCGGCCCACGCGCAGCGACAGGGAGAGGTGAGCGCGCTCGCAGGCCTGCGCCGGGTCCTCGGGCCCGCTCGACCGCCCCGCCGGAGCCGGCCACAGCGGCGGCCCGAGGCTGCGGGGGACCCTGCGCGACGCTTCTCCGTTCGCGCCCGCCGCCCGCGGGGCCCTGGCCCGAGCCTGCGCGGAACCCGAGGTCGGTTACGGCGGGCTCCCGGAGCTCCGGGTCAGGGTCAGGTCGGGGACTTGACCACTAGGCCGGGTCTCCCGTCCGTTGGGACACTTGCGGCTGCCCCAGGACGGGCAGCCTCGATCCTGGTTTGTCAATGGATCCCGGGAGTCTGTGTCAGGGGAGGGCTGCCGTTGAGCCCGCCGCCGCCTCGCCCTGAACTGTTAGACCCCACACTGCCCCGAGAGGCACGAGAGAAACGAGCGTGCCCGGGACGGTGCTCGGGGCCAGCGTTTCTGGGAAACCCGGGCGGTGACAGTGGGAGACCGGAGTCTGGCTCCACCGCCGGCCGGCGGGAGTAAGACGAGCCCGGAACAAGTCCCTGAGCTGCGCCGGGCCTCGCCGTCCACACCTGCCAATTCCCTGCACTCTCTCAGCCCCTGGCCAGGGGTCACCTCCTGGCCTCCTTTTCAATGCCTGCCACTTAGTGCGTGTGTATTTAACTCAAGTCCGGTTGCCACCCTCTTGCCAGACCCAGATAGGAAGCGGCTGAGAGGTCGGGCCTCAGCCCGGTGGGAGGGCAGCGAGGAGCGTACAGCAGGCTTGGCTGGGGCAGGTCGGTGGCCCCGCGTCCTGCCCCAGGGGAAACAGACGGTGTAATCTGGCTTCCGAAGAAGTGAGTATCTCGCGTAATCCAAAAGTCCAGCACCTGAGCCTAGGGCGTGGTTGGGTCTGGGTGCCCGGAACTCGCAGTCCGTCATCTGCACGGCCTGGCACCGCTGACCTCCTTAGCAGCTCCGCTCTAGGCAGGTACATGTGTGAGTGACAGGCAGGTGAGCCAGGCAGGTGCATGTGTGAGTTACAGGTGAGTGTCCCACCTCCATCGGCCCGGGCTTCCATCCAGCCTTCGGAGCAGTCTGGTGGAGAAGGCAGAGACTTCCGTGGCAGTCCTCGACCTGGGCGTGCCACGCGCCTGGCAGATGGGTCAGGCCAAGGTTTCCTACCACATCCCTAAGCAGGAAAGAGCTGTCCAGACAAAGAGGGATGGGTGAGGGATGCTGGGCAGCCACTGTCTCAGCGCCTGGGCACAGCTGCCCTCGGTGATTCACGCTGCTTTTATGCAGTTTCCGTGTAAACTTTTTTTTCTGTACCTTTTTGTTTTAAAATCGCCAACTCTTTCTCTCAGCAGGATGATGTGCTTGGTATCCCTTGTCTGTGGGGATGTTTGAAGGGAACCGGAGGCACATATGCTTCAAACTCTGTTCTCACAGTTTGCTTCCTTTGTGGATTTTTTTTTTGAATTTGAGACGGGGTCCACTGCAACCTCCGGCTCCGGAGTTCAAGTGATTCTCCCACCTCAGCCTCCAGAGTAGCTGGGATTACAGGTGCCCACCACCACACCCGGCTAATTTTTTTTTTTTTTTTTGAGATGGAGTTTTGCTCTTGTTGCCCGGGCTGGAGTGCAATGGCGTGATGTCAGCTCACCACAACCTCCACCCCCTGGATTCAAGCGATACTCCTATCTCAGCCACCTGAGTAGCTGGGATTATAGGCATTTGCCAGCACGCCTGACTGATTTTGTATTTTTAGTAGAGACAGGGTTTTACCATGTTGGTCAGGCTGGTCTTGAACTCCCGACCTCAGGTGATCTGCCCACCTCGGCCTCCCAAAGTGCTAGGATTACAGGTGTGAGCTACCATGCCCAGCCCCTTTGTGGATTTTTATTTTCCTTGTCCTTCCTGCTGTCATATTGGGATGAGATGAATTGGGGGAAATTGCCCCCTGGCCCCCTGGGGGACGTGAGAACGCTGTTCTGTGTGAAGCTCAGGAAGGGTGTCTGGGGAAACAGCAGTTGAATCGTGAACATGATTTTAAAAGCCTCTCCAAGCTAGTATGGGAGGGAAGCTTGCTTGTGACTGACTTGATGGAATCTATTTTATTTTTGCGTGGCTGTCCATGAACTTTCATTAAACCCGCAGCCTGGCCACTTAGCTAAGCCCAGACACACCTGTACTTGAATTGTTCAGTGAATTATTTTGTATATGGCAGAGTGTTAGCTTCAGGGTGAGCATTTGAAAGGACGGCCTGTGTGGAGGTGCTGCTTGTGGTCATCGCTGTGTCCATCACCAGGTGTTGGCCTGAGGGGAGATCCCTGGCCCATTGGCTTCTTTTTTTTTTTTTTTTTGAGACGGAGTCTCGCTCTGTCGCCCAGGCTGGAGTGCAGTGGCGCGATCTCAGCTCACTGCAAGCTCCGCCTCCCGGGTTCATGCCATTCTCCTGCCTCAGCCTCCCGAGTAGCTGGGACTACAGGCGCCCGCCACCGCGCCCGGCTAGTTTTTTTGTATTTTTTAGTAGAGACGAGGTTTCACCGTGTTAGCCAGGATGGTCTCGATCTCCTGACCTCATGATCCGCCCGTCTCGGCCTCCCAAAGTGCTGGGATTACAGGCTTGAGCCACCGCGCCCGGCCCCCATTGGCTTCTTGAGCCGGGAGCTGGGGATGCCACTGTGTGGAAGCACTTCCTTCCCGGGCAGGACTAGAACCCTGTTCCTGGTGAGGGCCCTCCTGGGGAGGCACTCCTTAGGCAGAGGAGCCCGCCCTTGTCTCTGCTGGGGCCCGAAAGGGCCCTGCATGGTGTGTGGGGTCACATGGAGGCCAGTGATGTGTGACAGAGTGGGAGGCATTTGGCAGGGAAATCAGGGAGGCCTCTGAAGGCGGTGGCCCGGAAGGGCCTAGGGGAGTTTCCAGTACAGTCTAGTCTGGGAAGCAGCTGTGAGAAGGAGTGTGTTGGTCAGGGGTTTGGAGTGGGGCCCGGGCTGTGCTGGGTCTTGGGAGTTGGAAACAAGGAGGGCTGACTGGGGCTGCTCTGTCAAGGGGCTGGCAGGCAGGAGGAGGTGTTGATTTTTCTTTTTTTTTGTTTGTTTGTTTGTTTTTGAGACGGAGTCTTGCTCTGTCGCCCGGGCTGGAGTGCAGTGGCCGGATCTCAGCTCACTGCAAGCTCCGCCTCCCGGGTTTACGCCATTCTCCTGCCTCAGCCTCCCGAGTAGCGGGGACTACAGGCGCCCGCCACCTCGCCCGGCTAGTTTTTTGTGTTTTTAGTAGAGACGGGGTTTCACTGTGTTAGCCAGGATGGTCTCGATCTCCTGACCTCGTGATCCACCCGTCTCGGCCTCCCAAAGTGCTGGGATTACAGGCTTGAGCCACCGCGCCCGGCCGAGGTGTTGATTTTTCTTTGCTTGACTGTGGAGCATCCTGAAGGGTGGTTGGGGGAGTGGGTGATCAGAACAGTGTGTGGACTTAGGGGTACACGAGGGCCTTGAGATGGGAAGAGATTAGAAGCTCAGACCTTCTGGACTCAAGGAGGGAGTTGGGAGGCTGCTGTGGTGCTGATGGAAGAAGTGACGCCATTCTGTATTAGAGAGGATAATGGGAATGGGAAGGATGTGGTGAACAAGGATTGCAAGAGTCAGGGACCCCAGAACAAGACGCAGGGTCGAGGGTGGTGCTTCGGCTGCACATTTGGGAGCACTCCAGGCCCTGGGGGTGTGGGGTGAGCAGCCAAGCCCTGGCCATCGCCATCCTCAGGTTGGGAACAGACACTGAACAGGCCACTGGTGATGATTCTCTGAGAAGGAATAAACCAGTCAGAGAGTTCAAGTCTGGAGATCTCTTGCAGGCAGAGACTGAAGGGAGGTAGAGTGTGTGGCTGTCTACAGGTGTGTGAGTTGGTTCTCATGCTGCTATAAAGATGTACCCGAGACTCAGTAATTTATAAAGAAAAGGGGTTTAATGGACTCACAGTTCCGCACGGCCAGGGAGGCCTCAGGAAACTTACAAACATGGCGGAAGGGAAAGACGCATGTTTTACATGGCAGCGGGCAAGAGAGCGGGCAAGAGCAGCGAACACTGCCTTGTAAACCGTCAGCTCTCCTGAGAACGGCTTGGGGCAAACCACTTCCACGATCCAATCACCTCCCACCAGGTCCCTCTCTCAACATGGGAGTTTATGGGGGTTACAATTCAAGATAAATTCCCACCAGGTCTCTCCCTCGACGTGGGAGATTACGGGAATACAATTCAAGATCAGATTTGGATGGGGACACAGCCAAAGCATATCAGCAGGGAAGCTGGTGGAGTCGGCTTCAGGTTTGTGGGAACTGGGAGGTCAGGATGGAGATCACTGGTCACTGGCCATTATTGATGACCACTGATGTCCAGGGACCTTATTAAAGCGTGTGGCCATGGCTGGGCACGGGGGGCTCACGCCTGTAATCCCAGCACTTTGGGAAGCTGAGGTGGGCAGATTACCTGAGGTCAGGAGTTCGAGACCAGCCTGACCAACATGGTGAAACTCCGTCTCTACTAAAAATACAAAAAAAAATTGCCTAGTGTGGTGGCAAGTGCCTGTAATCTCAGCTGCTTGGGTGACTGAGGCAGGAGAATCGCTTGAACCTGGGAGGCAGAGGTTGCAGTGAGCAGACATCACGCCACTGCACTCCAGCCTGGGCAATGAACAGTGAAGATTCTGTCTCAAAAAATATATATATAAATAAAAGAGGTTTGAGTTGGAGCTAGTCTGATGCAGCAGGGAGTCCTGTTTTCATCACCACCCCTCTCCCCAGCCCCGGGCATGGCTGAGGGGCCTTGGGGTCCCTGATCCAGCCTCTTCTCTTGCATGATGGTGCCTCACGCTCCGTGCTCGGCCTGCAATGCTGTCTTGAATGTCCCACCTGGAGCCACCAGAGTGACCTTCCTAACAGAAGATACGATCTGCCTTAAGGCTTGGACTCAAAACCCCTGCGGGGCCCAGGTTGCAGTGGCTCATGCCTGTAATTCTAGCACTTTGGGAGGCTGAGGCGTGCACTTGAGGCCAGGAGTTTGAGACCAGCTTGGGCAACACAGTGAGATCCCATCTCTACAAAAAATAAATTAGCTAGGCGTGGTGGCACGCGTCTGTAGTCTCTGCTACTCAGGAGGCTGAGGTGGTAGGATTGCTTGAGCCAAGGCGGTCGAGGCTGCAGTGACTCCAGCCTGGGCGACAGAGCAAGACCCTGTCTCACAAAAAATAAGAAAATAAACCCTTATGCCCTGGCTCTGCCTCCCTGGCCAGTCTTATCCCTGCCCTCACTGTGCTTGGGCCCCTGCACGCTGGACTTTCTCAGGTGTGGCCTGTTCACCTGTGGCCCCTTCTACCAGGAAGACAGCTGCTCCTTTGCCCAGCGAGTGCCTTGGAGTCTCCAGAGTCTTCGTCACTCCAGCCGCAGAGGCTTCCCCATTCTGCGGCTCCTTTTGCTTGTGGCCAGTGGTAAATGTTGGGCAGCGGGCTTCTGGGTGCAGTGGAGGGGCTGGCAGTGGTGCCTGCCCATTTCCATGGTGTGGATTCTCCATCAGTGAGAGGTCCTTGAGCTCAGAGTTGGAAGGTGCAAGTAGCTGCCCTCAGGAGCTGGTCTGAGGCTGTGGCCTTAGCACCACCTCAGGCCCTGTAAGTGTATCCCTGTGTGAGTTCTTTGAGGACGGGAGCCAGGCTTTGGGTTTCTCCTCGTCTTTGTACCTGAGCTGTACGTTGTGTCAGTGAAGGCGGTGGCGGGACAGATGGGAAAAGAGAAGCCGCAGGGCCTCTGGGTATCTGGGCGGGTGGCAAGTCAGGGTGACCTGTGAGCTGTGACTCTGGGTGACTGGGCTGAGGTGTGTACGTTACGGCTGGGCCCTGAATGAGTGGTGGGCTGCAGAAACGGGAGTGGAGCCGCGTTGGGGGGAGAGCTGTGGCCAGCACCACTTTTCTTCGTCAGTGTAGACATTGTTTTTAACAGATGAGCAGCACCAGCAATAAGAGGGCTCCAACCACAGCAACCCAGAGGCTGAAGCAGGACTACCTTCGCATTAAGAAAGACCCAGTGCCCTACATCTGTGCCGAGCCCCTCCCTTCGAATATTCTTGAGTGGTAAGGCTGCGCCACTGATCACCCTGCACTGACTCTCACTGCCACGCAGGCCTCTGCTGGCCTGGCTGGGTGAGCCTGGTGCCCCAGTCATGGCATTGGCAAGGTGCTCCTGCACCCTCCCCAGGGGTGAGTGGGTGCCCAGGGGCTGGTGGACACTCTCCGGTCTTTTCCCAATGGACGCATGCTGGGGATGTCACAGAACCCTGCTTGACTCAGTCTGGGGCTGGAGAGAATCTCTGGTGTGGGGTCCTTGAGGGGGCGGGGTCCAGATTGCCTCAGGTTGGGGCTGGAGAGAATCTGGTGTGGGGTCCTTGGGGAGGGGTCCAGGTATACAGGGCTCACAGCTGCTGCTGATGTGTGCTCCAGGCACTTAGAGGAGAAACTGCCTTTCTAGGCTCTGGTCTTTGCTTCTGGATATGGGAATCAGCCTGTTTTGGCTTGGACTAGGGTCCGATACTCCTGTCGCTGGCACTGGCTTGGGCCAGGTGCCCCGACCCTCAGGCTGACAACGAGAGGGCTTGTGCCTCATAAGCGTTCACCTCATGATGACTCTCCCCCTTTGAAGTATAGAGTGTGAGAGTGCATACCGCTCTGTAGAAACACCGCCATGACAGGTCTGCTAGTAATTTGGTAGGAAATAAAGCGTGAGAGCCCGGGCATGGTGGCTCACGCCTGTAATCCCAGCACTTTGGGAGGCTGAGGCGGGCAGATCACCTGAGGTCAGGAGTTTGAGACCAGCCTGGTCAACATGGTGAAACCCTGTCTCTACCAAAAATACAAAAATTAGCTGGGCGTGATGGCATGCGCCTGTAATCCCACCTACTCGGGAGACTGAGATGGGAGAATCTCTTGAACCTGGGAGGCGGAGGTTGCAGTGAGCCGAGATCACACCACTGCACTCCAGCCTGGGCAACAAGACTGAAACTCTGTCTCAAAAAAAAAAAAAAAAAAAAAAAAAGGAAAATATGAGGATGTTTTATATTTTGATCTTAAAAAAAAAATAGTTAGTTATGGCCGGGCGTGGTGGGTCACACCTGTAGTCCCAGCACTTTGGGAGGCCGAAGCGGGCGGATCACGAGGTCAGGAGATTGAGACCATCCTGGCTAACATGGTGAGATCCCGTCTCTATTAAAAGTACAAAAAATTAGTCAGGCGTGTTGGCGGGTGCCTGTAGTCCCAGCTGCTTGGGAGGCTGAGGCAGGAGAATGGCATGAACCTGGGAGGCGGAGCTTGCAGTGAGCTGAGATCGTACCACTGCACTCCAGCCTGGGGGACAGAGCGAGATTCCGTCTCAAAAAAAAAAAAAAAAAGTTATTTATTTATTTTTTAATTATTTATTTATTTTTTTGAGACAGAGTCTAGCACTGTCGCCCAGGCTGGAGTGCAGTGGCGCGATCTCAGCTCACTGCAAGCTCCACCTCCCGGGTTCACGCCATTCTCTGGCCTGAGTCTCGTGAGTAGCTGGGACTACAGGTGCCCGCCACCATGCCCAGCTAGTTTTTTGTTTTTGTATTTTTAGTAGAGACGGGGTTTCACTGTGTTAGCCAGGATGGTCTTAATCTCCTGACCTCGTGATCCGCCCGCCTCGACCTCCCAAAGTTCTGGGATTACAGGCGTGAGCCACTGCGTCCAGCCTTATTTATTTTTTTGAGACAGAATCTTGCTCTGTTGCCCAGGCTGGAGTGCAATGGCATGATCTCGGCTCACTGTGACCTCTGCCTCCCAGGTTCAAGCAATTCTCCTGTCTTAGTAGAGATGCGGTTTCACCACATTGGTCAGGCTGGTCTCAAACTCCTTATCCCAGGTGATCTGCCTGCCTCAGCCTCCTAAGGTGCTGGGATTACAGGCATGAGCCACCATGCCTGGCCTAATTTTTTTAATTCCAGAGAAAAGATACTTCAGTGAGTTGAAAGGAAGTGTGTTTCTGCTTGGTCAGGGGTCCACCTTCTGTGGCTCACAGAGGAGGCCCAGCCCAGGCGGGTGGAGGAAACCCAGGGTGAGGCAGAGCCCCTTGGCCACCAGAGTGCTCTCTGCCCCCAGTGCTGAAAATCAGATGTGGCCCCCCAGGACATTGCTGGCAGGTGCGAGGGACAAGTTCCACGGTAGCCGCCGCCTCCCTGGTTGCGAGGACGCCTTCATTTTGTGGGGAATCGTTTCCCACAAGTCTGTGGGTCAGGCATCCCCAAGACCCTGTGCAGGTTGGATGATTCACAAAGAAAACTCACCATTAATGCTACGGAGAGAGGCTGGACGCGAGGGCTCACGCCTGTCATCCCAGCACTGTGGGAGGTCGAGGCAGGTGGATCTCGAGGTCAGGAGATTGAGACCAGCCTGGCCAACATGGTGGAACCCCTTCTCTACTAAAAATACAAAAATTAGCCGGGCATGGTGGCGTGTGCCTGTAATCTCAGCTACTTGCTACTTGGGAGGCTGAGGCAGGAGAATTGCTTGAACCCGGGAGGTGGAGGTTGCAGTAAGCTGAGATCGCGCCAGTGTACTCCAGCCTGGAGAGCACGAGACTCCGCCACACACACACACACACACGCGCGTGCGCGCGTGCACACACGCACGCGCACACACAAATTATGGAGAGAAAACAGCAGTGGAAGAGGCACGTGGGGCAAAGTCTCTGTGCTCCATTCCCAGCAGCAGCTTGGGTTTGGACGGCACGTGTGGGATGTTGACCAGAGAAGCTCGTTGGAAACTGAAACGTTTCAGGGGAAGGCCCAGGGTCTTTATGGGGCTGGTCCTAGGCATCCTCTGCCTGGCACCTGCCAAAATACCAAAATACCGGACTTCCAGGAGAGCAGGGGCTCAGCGTAGACCACGTTGCGTGTTGAGGCAGTAAGCCCCTGTTGTCAGGTGGTGGCACCTGACCCGGGACGACAATGTCAGTGTCAGGCCTGTGCTGCGGGAGCCCCTGGCAGGCCTCCACAGGTGTCTCTCCCCTCCCTGAGAGAAGCATGCTTTCCCAGGAAAGGCCTGTGGGGTGCGCTGTGGGCCACATGGATCCCATCTTGTCTCCGCTGCCCCAAGGCTGCTGGGCTCTGTCTCAGGAAGAGAGCGACTTCTTTATTTCTTCCCAGTGTTCGCTGCTTGGGCACAGGAATAACTTAAGGCCACACTCCTGGGTGCATCGTGTGCTGAGCTCGGAGTCACTGGGTTCCTGGGCCACTGACACATGATAATGGCATTTTTTGAAGAAAACATATCAGCTGGCAGATAGCACACATCACATCATCCCATTAGTATTTTCTTTTGAGTATTTTTGTCACTCAGGCTGGAGTGCAGCGGCGCGATCTCGGATCACTGCAACCTCCGTCTTCCAGGTTCAAGCAATTCTCCTGCCTCAGCCTCCCGAGCTGGGATTACAGGTGTGCGCCACCATGACCAGCTAATTTTTGTATTTTTAGTAGAGATGGAGTTTCACCGTATTGCCCAGGCTGATCTCGAACTCCTGACCTCAGGCAGTCCACCTGCCTCGGCCTCCCAAAGTGCTGGGATTGCAGGTGTGAGCCACTGCGCCCAGCCTAATATTTGTATTTTTAGTAGAGACGGAGTTTCGCCATGTTGACCAGGCTAGTCTCGAACTCCTGACTTCAGGTGATCTACCCACTTCGGCCTCCCGGAGTGCTGGGATTACAGACGTGAGCCACTGAGCCTGGGCCCCTGTTAGTTTTAAACTGATGTCGGCCGGGCGTGGTGGCTCACGCCTGTAATCCCAGCACTTTGGGAGGCCGAGGCGGGCGGATCACAAGGTCAGGAGATCGAGACCATGGTGAAACCCCGTCTCTACTAAAAAATAGAAAAAAATTAGCCGGGCGCAGTGGCGGGCGCCTGTAGTCCCAGCTACTCGGGAGGCTGAGGTAGGAGAATGGCGTGAACCCGGGAGGCGGAGCTTGCAGTGAGCCGAGATTGCGCCACTGCACTCCAGCCTGGGCGACAGAGCGAGACTCCGTCTCAAAAAAAAAAAAAAAAAAAAAAAAATTAAACTGATGTCACACATGTCCTGGGGGAGAGAGCAAGGGGAACGATGATGGCTGGTGTTGGCTGGTGTTGGCAGTTGCAGCCGTGTCTGGTTTCTGGCATTTCTAGCTGGCTTTACTTTCCATCTCTGTGCTCTTCTGTTTGGTTTGGGAATCTGTAAAGCCCAGACACTTCTTTCCGTGAAGCAGAAGCCTTGTTTATTTGTATGGAGGAGGGTTTAGTCAGTTTGCTGCTGCCCCTGGTCTGAGGGTGAGCTCCGTGTGGGGACTGTGGTTTTGGGGACAATCATGGCAGTTCCTGTTCCTTCTCCAGGACAGCTGCTTAAGTCACTCATGGTTTTTCCAGGAGCATGAAAAACGGCTGGGGCACAGAGCTGTCCCCACATCACTGGCTGTGTCCTGTTTAGCTTGCATGTGTGATACCAGAAAACACATTATGTATAAGCACATTTAAGAATATACATTTTAAAGTACATCGTTTTTTCCTTGGAGATAGGGTCTCACTCTGTTGCCCAAATGGGATATGGTAGCAGTCATAGCTCACTGCAGCCTGAAACTCCTGGCTCAGGCATCCTCCCGCCTCAGCCTCCTGAGTAGCCGGGACCACAGGCATGCACTACCACGCCTGGCGGTTTTTTTTTTTTTTTTTTTTTTTAATAAAGGTGAGGTCTTGCTGTGTTGCCTAGGCTGGTGTCAAACTCCTGGGCTCAAGTGATCTTCCCACCATGCCCTTCCAAAGTGCTGAGATTACCGTCTTCAAGTACATCTTAGTAACGTACTGTGAAACTAAAATTTATTTAAGATTTCAGTTATTAATAATTAGGATTAGCTTTGTGCATGTTATATTGTAGAAACAAAGGTATTTTATGATAAACATGTGAAGTATAGTCTTTAAGATCCTGTTACAAAGAGACTAAAAGCACCCACAGTAGAAGAGACTGGGAGCTTTGAAGCTGTGTGGCTGTGTGACATTTCACCTTCATCTGTTCACTGCCTGAATGTGAATGTAATTTTGACTGGGTCCTATAAACCCCAGGCTTGGAATGCTTCAGGTTTTGGAGAATTTGCTGTCCCCAAATCCCAAGTAATTTTCTTCTCTCCCTTAGGCACTATGTCGTCCGAGGCCCAGAGATGACCCCTTACGAAGGTAAGGATTCTGTACTTAGGTAGAAGAACACCAGGCAGTTTTTATATTCTGGATCAACCTTGCCTATTCAACATCTTTTATTTGCAAACAGCAGCCTTTCTACTTTGGATGTGCGCTAGTTGAATTGGCTTAGTTGGAACTCATCCTTGTCTGCTGCTTCACGCGCTGGAAGTGCTTGCTCTGCTGATGTGTGTCAGCCCACAGGCCGCCTGTAGCGTCTGTGTCCACCAGCCTCTGACACCATAGGGCCACAGCCGAGAAAACCAGACTGGGGTAAACACTGAAGCTGGCCTGTTCTACTGTTTCTTAAGACCTGGTGCATATCATCAAAGGAGAGACATATGTATTCAATATGCCCTCTGTGCTGGGTGCCCCCAGGGTCTCGCGATCCCCAGGACAGTCTCTGAGCTAAGCGGAAGTACCCTGTGTGGTGGCATCTGGGGCTTTGGGAGGCTGCAGGACCTGCCCAGCACCTCAGTCCTTCATTAGCTACCAAGGCTGATCCAGCAGCCTGACCCCTCTAGGTCAGCAGACACCACCGAGAGTCCTGGGTGTCATTTACAGAGTAGATGCTGGAGCTGTCAGCAAGTTTCTCGGGGCTTTGGCGGAGGCGGGCACTAGCCTTGGTCTGGGCCAGGTCAGGAGTCAGTGTGCCCGTGGATACTGTCCCACCAGCAAGTGCAAGGCACAGCAGGGCCAGGTCAGCAGTTGGCTGTCCAGCCGCAGGGCCCCGGCTTCAGGTGGCTGGAGCAGCAGGCTCTGTTTGCCTGTGTGTGGAGGCTTTGGGTGATATTTCACTAGAGGAAAGTGCTGCTGCTAGAAGAAGGTTTGCAAACCCCTGCTTTGGACTGTCGGGAGGGTTGTGGGTGGGTAACAATGAAAAAGGCTCTCCTGGCTGGGCGCGGTGGCTCACGCCTGTAATCCCAGCACTTTGGGAGGCCGAGACGGGCGGATCACGAGGTCAGGAGATCGAGACCATCCTGGCTAACACAGTGAAACCCCGTCTCTACTAAAAAAATACGAAAAACTAGCCAGGCGTGGTGGCGGGCGCCTGTAGTCCCAGCTACTCGGGAGGCTGAGGCAGGAGAATGGCATAAATCCGGGAGGCGGAGCTTGCAGTGAGCTGAGATCCGGCCACTGCACTCCAGCCTGGGCGACAGAGCAAGACTCCATCTCAAAAAAAAAAAAAAAAGAAAAAGGCTCTCCTGAAGGCACTTTGGCCGAGTTCTCACAGCCATACCCGTGGACTGTCCTTTGGCCCAGGAATCCCAGTTCTGGGTTCATCTGCAACGAGGGCAGCCGGAGGGCAGGAGCCCATCTGTAGGGCAGGCACTTGATCCTAGTGCCATGGACCGTGACCAGCGCTGGGGATGCCAGCAGGCCATGGCGAGATAAGGCCTGGGAGCAGTGTCCAGGGCGTGTTACTTGTTATGATGAGTCTGTGTGCCTTCGGCTGATTTGAAGAATCAACCACTGCTGGGCGCAGTGGCTCACGCCTGTAATTCCAGCACTTTGGGAGGCTGAACCGGGCGGATCACCTGAGGTCAGGAGTTCGATACCAGCCTGACCAACATGGAGAAACTCCATCTCTACTAAAAATACAAAATTAGCCGGGCATGGTGGCTTATGCCTGTAGTCCCAGCTACTTGGGAGGCTGAGGCAGGAGAATAACTTGAACCCTGGAGGCAGAGGTTGCAGTGAGCCGAGGTCATGCTGTTGCAGTCCAGCCTGGGTGACGAGCAGAACTCATCAGGAGATCGAGACTATCTTGGCTAATACAGTGAAACCTCATCTCTACTAAAAAAATACAAAAAATTAGCCAGGCGTGGTGTTGGGCGCCTGTAGTCCCAGCTACTCGGGAGGCTGAGGCAGGAGAATCGCTTGAACCCAGGAGGCAGAGCTTGCAGTGAGCCGAGATTGCGCCACTGCACTCCAGCCTGGGTGACAAGATTGAAACTCTGTCTCAAAAAAAAAAAAAAAAAAATGAGTGGTGGTCTTTGACAAGCAAAATTATGCCAGCTTTACTTTTGTTTTGTGATTTTAGTTTTTTTGAAATAAATGATGAATATTAATTCTGTATTTACACCCCACCTCCCTCAGCATCACCAGCCAGGTCAGTTGCTGGTGGAGATAAGCTGCTCCCCCGACAGGGCTGGACACAGTTGGGAGAAGTTGGGACACAGTTGGGAGACCTCACCACACCTGGGTGTGGTGGGGCCGTTGCTGGCCCCAACCCTGTCACTTGTGCACTTATCCTGGTCCCTTCCCATCCCTTCTGTTGTGTGGCTCCGTGCTGGTCCTGGGTCTCAGGAAAGCCTCACTTCAGAGGCAGGTGTGTTCCTACTGCCCCTCCCTTTTCCCCTCTGTGGCACTGCTGCTCCTATCCCTGCGGCCCTCCCCCTCGCTGGGGGATGCCTTCTGCTGTTTGCAGCCCTGTCCTCTGCTCTCCTTCAGAGTCTCCAGGGAATCCCTCTGAATTGCCACTTGCCAAGGGGCTGTTCTCAGTCCTCAGTTTCTTAGCCTCTGGTATCTGATGCTGCTGACGATGGCTTCCTTCCTGACTTGGGGATTTCTGACTCCTCTTCCTGCCTTCTTGGTGGCTTCTGTGCCAGGTCCATGTCTTTCTGGCCTGGCGTGCATTAGCTGTGTCCCCTCCGTGCACTGGGCTCCGTGGCTGTTCTGCCCAGGCATGCCCACTCTGACAGTTCAGAGCTGGCTTCCTGCAAATGTTGTTAAATGATTCCCCTTGAGTTAATCTGTAGATTTCACACAGTCCTAACAAAATCTCAGTTTCTGTACTACACAGGCTTATTCTAAAATTTACATGAAAAGGCCTGGGCGACAGCGCGAGACTCCGTCTCAAAAAAAAAAAAAAAAAAAAAAAGGCAAAGGACCTGGAACAGTTAAAACAATTTTTCTAAAGAATAAAGTGGAATCTGTGACGGGGGGGTCTCTGCGGTGTGGTCACGCTGTGACGGGGGGCTCTGTGGTGTGGTCACGCTGTGACGGGGGGGCTCTGTGGTGTGGCTGCCGTGTGGCCACACTGTGACTGTGGGGGACTCTTGCTTTGTGGCTGCACAGTCCATGTGGGGTGTGGGGCCTGTGGGGACACGGGGGGGTCACCAGGGTACAGTGCGTAGCATGGGCGTCTGCGTGGATCAGCTCGACGAAGGGGGATGTGAACTGAAAATTGTCCTGGGTGACAGCCCTGCTTCTGGTCAGAGAAAGTCCAGCCTAGATTCAGAGTGGATCCCGAGGTGGCCTAAAACGATGAGAGTTCCCTGCAAGATGTGAAGCGCCCTAGGGGCAGGGGTGCTGCATCCTACACAGGGTGGCTCTGGAGCAGAAGAGCCGGCGGCAATTTGGGAACTCGCATTGGGGCAGGATTGTGCACAGGGAGCCCGAAGGGAGGACAGAGGCCAGTGCTCCTCTAACCTGATGGCGTGCACATGCACACACATAGACATACATGCATGTGTCCTGATGGCATGCACACACACGCACACGCAACACACATGCACGCACACGCGTCCTGACAGCATGCACACACGCACATGCAACACACATGCACGCACACGCGTCCTGACAGCATGCACACACACGCACACGCAACACATGCACACGCGTCCTGACAGCATGCACACGCACAGACGTGTGCACACACGTCCTGACAGCACGCACACGCATAGACATGCGCGCACACGCATGCAGGTGTGGCCGGGGAGTCCTGGCTCATGCACTTCTGCTCTGGTTGAGGTTGGCCCCAAGCTCTGAATTTCCAGCCAACTCCAGGTGCAGCCTGGGCAGCCAGGGTGTGGGCCTCGGGCTAGGGCGGGGCTGCCATGAGGCAGCTTGTGGAGGGTCCGGGAGCAGGGCCGGGGGAGGCCGTGCAGGATGTGCGGATCTAGATTGATTTGAAGGTGGAGCCAACAGGATTTGCTCATTGCGTGGGTGTGGTACCAGGAGGATGGAGTTGCCAAGTTGCCATTTGGTGGAAGTGGCCAGAATTCTGTCCTGGATGGGGGCGTCTGGGTGCTGTGCTGTGGACGGTCAGTGTAGTGGCCTGGAGTGTGCAGGGGGCCTGTGGGTGCACTGTGGGGGCAGTGGCTGAGCAGCCATTCCAGGGCTTCTGATGGGAGGCTGTGAAACTGGGGCAACTCCAGGAAGATGCCAGGACTAAGAGGAGAGCGCCCTGTGCTTGGGTGGGTGAAGAGGGGCTGGCTGGAGTGGGAAGAGGGGGTGGGGAGGGAGGAGCTAGACCAGGTTGGGGCTTTGGAGAGGCAGAGCCAGGAGTGGCCCCTGATAAGGCTATGCCCTTGGGTGGTCAGAAACCAGTGGGAGGCCGGGCGCGGTGGCTCACGCTTGTAATCCCAGCACTTTGGGAGGTCGAGGCCGGCGTATCATGAGGTCAGGAGATAGAGACCATCTTGGCTAACACAGTGAAACCCCGTCTCTACTAAAATTTAAAAAAAGCCAGGCTTGGTGGCAGGCGCCTATAGTTCCAGCTACTCAGGTGGCTGAGGCAGGATAATCGCTTGAACCCGGGAGGCGGAGGTTACGCCACTGCACTCCAGCCTGGGTGACAGAGCGAGACTCTGTCTCAAAGAGAAAAAAAAAAAAAACAAAAAACACCACCAGTGGGTACGTGTGGGTGACCCTGAGGTGGACCTTCAGGTCAGGTTTGGTGGGCCAGGGAGAAAGCCTGGTCAGGTGGATTCGAGAGCTTGGGAGGGGAGGACGTGGGAACAGCCACGGATGAGGCCTGAATCCAGGGGTTCAGGTCAGGGCAGGGGCTTTTGGCAGGACTTGGAGGGGGTGTGGTGGAGAGTGGTGTGTTTGAGGTGGGTTTTGCTGGCCTTTGGGTGCGGTTGGTCGGGGAAGCGAACAGTGCTGGAGAGTCGCTGGGTCGACCTGAGTCCTGGGAGGGGCAGCCTCAGCTGGGCCTGGAGCTCCTGATGTGCTGAGGGTGTTGCAGGGAGGCCTGCCTGCCGCTTCCGACCCTCTGCTCTTGGTGTGGGTGTGTGTGGACACTCCAGGGGGAGAGGTGTGCGGTAGCTGTGGGGGTCTCGAGCTCCCGGGGAAGTGGGGGGTCTGGGTCCAGTCATGTGGTGGGTACGGGTAGGGTGGGGAGGGGCATTGGGTCTGGGTGGTCGTGACAGTGGGTGGGTCATGACGGGAGCGGCACTGGAGAGTAAGGTCAGTGGGGGGCTGAGTCTGGGAGCCGGCTCGGCACGGAAGGGCAGTGAGGACTCAGGAGCTGAGCTGGGGGGCAGGGTGGTGTGGGGATGGGGACAAGGTCTCCAGGAGCCCCTGCTGTGGAGGACGACAAGGCTCTTTGTTTTGTTTCCATGTAGGTGGCTATTATCATGGAAAACTAATCTTTCCCAGAGAATTTCCTTTCAAACCTCCTAGTATTTATATGATAACTCCCAATGGAAGATTTAAGTGCAACACCAGGTAAGGTGCCTGGAGGGTGCCGGGGAAGCTTTCTGGCCGCAGTGGGGAGTGTGCACTGACAGGGCCCCTGTTTCGCAGGCTGTGTCTTTCTATCACGGATTTCCACCCGGACACGTGGAACCCAGCCTGGTCTGTCTCCACCATCCTCACCGGGCTCCTGAGCTTCATGGTGGAGAAGGGCCCCACCCTGGGCAGTATAGAGACGTCGGACTTCACGGTGAGCTCTCGAGCCTCTCCCTTGTGGGCCATCAGCCTGGTGTCTGCGGCTGTGTCTGTTCCTGAGTGCAGCTGCCTTTCTTCTCCGCAGCGGGGCTGGGTGGAGTTCCCGCCTTGTCCCAGGCACCCCTGTCCCAGGCACCCCTTGTCCCAGGCACCCCTGTCCCAGGCACCCCTTGTCCCAGGCACCCCTGTCCCAGGCACCCCCTGTCCCAGGCACCCCCTGTCCCAGGCACCCCTGTCCCAGGCACCCCTTGTCCCAGGCGCCGTGGTGGAGACTACTCTGCTCTGTGGCCTCGTGTTCCCTGCTGCCTCTCGGTCTTGCTTTTCTTCACCTCCAGCTTCATCCACACCCGCCAGTGGCTCCTCCTCGGGATCTTGGGGTGGGCAGAGGCAGTGCCAGTCGCACAGATGGCGGGGGCCTTTTCAGGCGGGAGCACAGTGCTTTTGTTAGCTGGTGTTTATTTTTCTATTTTTAATAGGAATCGAGTGTGATATAATTAATTGATGAGAAGATTAAGAAGCCTTTATAAGACTGAGTTTGCTGTGAAGAGTGTGCTTATTAAGTGCTTTCTGCAGCATGAAGACTGCAGCCCTTGACTTAGAAATCATCTGCTTTTATAATTTTGAAAGAATTGAAATTAGTTTTCTGGCTGATTCCCTTCTCTTCCTTCCTAGAAAAGACAACTGGCAGCGCAGAGTTTAGCGTTTAATTTGAAAGATAAAGTCTTTTGTGAATTATTTCCTGAAGTTGTGGAGGTAAGAAAGAGAAAGTCCGTAATGGGTTTCGCCTTCCCCTGTGTTAAAACACTTCAGTTTCACCTCTTTCCAAAGAGTAAAATCTGGGTCCTGAAGCTGCAGACCTCCTCAGGGTATGGCTCCTCTCCCCCAGGAGCCCCGAGGCGGGGGAGGCAGAAGGCCTGGGCCCTGGGGGGTGGCCTGCGGACAGCTGTGCTGGTGGGCTGGGAGCTGGGCCTTTTCCACAGGGCATGGAGCTCGTGGCCTGAGCGGCCACCTGGGTGGTCTGGGGATGGCTGGGAGGCACAGCAGCTGCCCTGTGGACTGGAGTGCTCCCTGGTCTTGGCCTCTGTGGCTCAGCCTTACTGTGGTCTGCCTGAGTGCAGGGGCCAAGAGGCACAGGGCCAGTGAGGCCAGCCACGCTCGGGCCCTCACCTGTGAGATGGGGTCGGGATGTGACACGGCCTGGGGCTGGGTTCTCGGTGGACTGAGCTCCTGAGAACGGGAGTGCTGGTCCTGAGGGGCTGGTTGGAGACCAGCTGCGTTTCTCGCTGTTTCTCTCTTAGGAAATTAAACAGAAACAGAAAGCACAAGACGAACTCAGTAGCAAACCCCAGACTCTTCCCTTGCCAGACGTGGTTCCAGACGGGGAGACGCACCTCGTACAGAATGGGATTCAGCTTCTCAACGGCCATGCGCCGGGGGCCGTCCCGAACCTCGCGGGGCTCCAGCAGGCCAACCGGCACCACGGACTCCTGGGCGGCGCCCTGGCGAACTTGTTTGTTATAGTTGGGTTTGCAGCCTTTGCCTACACGGTCAAGTACGTGCTGAGGAGCATCGCGCAGGAGTGAGGCCCGGGTGCCGAGACCAGGGCGCCACCGAGGGCACCGCGCGCCAGAGCGTGACCTGGGCAGGCTGGACACACTGCCCGGCACCGGCGGACCCTCCAGCCTCCTGGGTTGAGCGTTTAAAAGCCTGAAAGGGGAAGCGAAAACCAAAATGTGTGACTGGGCTTTGGAGGAGACCCGAGCCTCAGGCCTGCCCCGGCCTCGCGCCGCTGGGGCTGGCGGGGATGGGCCGCTCGTGCGCTGGATTTGTAGCTTCTCTTCCGTGTTGTCTTTGGACCTGTTTTAGTAAAAACCCGTTTTTCATTCTATTAGACGTGGTCGCTTAGAAACAGACTCGCTGCCGGCCGCGGCTGCGCGTGCGCTCTTGGGGCTCCGGGGGCGGCGGGCCGGGGGGAGCTGGCGTGGCCTGGCCGTGTGGTGACGGGGCTTGGCGGGGCCAGCGGCAGCCGTGGCTCAGCATCCAGGGAGATGGGCTTTGGTCTCGGCAGTCAGGGGAAACGCGCTCCTTCCAGAAAGTGCGCGGGGCCTTCGGCGGTCGTGGAGCCAGGACCTGCCCGCTCCGACCACAAGGTGTCGCCCTTGACCGCGGGGGGCGGGGCGGGGCCTCCTGGGCGCCCCTGGGGCTGCGGGCGCGGGGGCCTCGGGTTCAGAGCCCGTCCTGTGCTGGCGGAAGGCGGAGGACCGGAGTCCCGGCGGGAGGCCCCCACGACCGGCAGGCTGGCCCCGTGCGCTCGGGGCCTCGCTTACATCCCATCCCGCGCCGCCTGCGCCGGTCTTCACCGTAGGTAACGGCTCCGGCCCGGGGTTCGCGCTCCACGGAACATGGCAGAGGGGGACCCGGCCCGGGAACGACGCCTGAGCCGGCAGGGGCTCCCCGGGTCCGGCCGTCTCCCCTCTTCTCCGTCGGTTCCGTGACTTCGCCCGGGTGGGATGTGCCGCAGGTGCATCGCGTGGAGGTGGGTCGCGGCCGCCGGCAAGAAACCCACCCTGTCCAGAGGCGGGCGGCAGACAAGCCCACCCCGCGCGCGCTCCTCTTTCTTTGTTTTTTCATCAGTTTATTCAGAATTGCTCTACAATTTACCAATTGTATGTATTTAACCTGTTGTGGAAAACAAAAAGTCTTTCATTATATCTTTATTTCTGAATTTCATGCTGCTTGTGTCTCTGTGGGCCGGGACATGTGTCCGTCTCTGTGCTCTGGGCTGGGGTGGCCCGTGACCGGGGGTCACACCTGCTGACCTGGGCTGGGGTGGCAGCTGCAGGACAGGTGGGTCCCAGCAGGGAATCGCGTCGCTGGGGCCGTGGTGTAAAGCCCTCTGCAGGACTCTGTCCCCATCCCGTGCTGGATGCCAACCGTGCCCTGATCCCCAGCGCTGCCGTGACTGCCTGCATCACTTCCGAAGCCTGGTGTTTCCCGAGGCTCGCGAGAGGTGGAATGCTAAGGAACAGAGTGTTTACTTAACACACATTACTGCCGGGTGCAGCGGCTTCCGCCTACAATCCCAGCACTTTGGGAGGCTGAGGGGTGGATCTCTTGAGCCCAGCCTGGGCAACATAGTGAGACCCCATCTCACAAAAAATACAAAACACTATCTGGTGTGGTGATGCACACCTTTGGTCCCAGCTACTCAGGAGGCTGAGGTGGGAGGATTGCCTGAGCCCGGCAGGTGGAGGCTACAGTGAGCCATGATGGAACCACCACACTCCAGCCTGGGCAAGGGAGCCAGATCCTGTCTCAAATGTTTTCTATATGTGAAATCTCAACTTTTTTTTTTTTTTTAATGGAGACAGAATCTTGCTCTGTTGCCCAGTGTGGAGTGTAATGGTGCCATCATGGCTCACTGTAACTGTAGGGTGTAGCCCTACTGGGCGTGTGGATTTTTCGCCTTGTGTGTGGAGATGAGAGATCGTAGAAATAAAGACACAAGACAAAGAGAAGAAAAGACAGCTGGGCCTGGGGGGACCACTACCACCTAGACGCGGAGACCAGTAGTGGTCCCGAATGCCTGGCTGCGCTGTTATGTATTGGATACAAGACAAGGGGGCAGGGTATGGAGCGTGAGCCATCTCCAATGATAGGTAAGGTCACGCGAGTCACGTGTCCACCGGACAGGAGGCCCTTCCCTGTTTGGCAGCCGAGGCAGAACGAGAGGACAGCTTATGCCGTTATTCTATGCATTTCAAAGAGTTTAGTACTTTCACTAATTCTGCTACTGCTATCTAGAAGGCAGAGCCAGATGTACAGGGCAGAATGTGAAAGCAGACCAGGAGCGTGACCGCGGAAGCACAGCATCACAGGGAGAAGGTTAGGCCTCCGGATGGCTGCGGGTGGGCCTGACTGATGGCAGGTCTTCCACAAGAGGTGGTGGAGCAGAGTCTTCTCTAACCCCCCCGGGGAAAGGGAGACTCCCTTCCTGGTCTGCTGAGTAACAGGTGCCTTTTCTAGGCACTGGCACTAGCGCTAGACCAAGGTTGGCTAAGTAGCGGGCGTCTTCCCAGGCCCTGGCATTACTGCTAGACCAGGGAGCCCTCTAGTGGCCCTGTCCAGGCATGACAGGGCTCACACTCTTGTCTTCTGGTCACTTCTCACTGTGTCCCTTCAGCTTCTATCTCTGTATGACCTGGTTGGTTTTTCCTAGGTTATAGTTGTAGAACAAAGATTATTATAATATTGGAATAAAGAGTAATGCTACAAACTGTGATTAATAGTATATGTAATCATATCTATAATCTATTTCTAGTATATTCTTATTGTGTATATTTTCTTTATTATACCGGAACAGCTTGTGCCCTTGGTCTCTTGCCTTGGCACCTACGTGGCTTGCCTTGACCTCCTGGGCTCAAGGGATCCTCCAAACTCAGCCCCCTACATAGCTGGGACCACAAGTGTGCGCCACCATGCCTGGCTAATTTTTGTATTTTTTGTAGAGATGGAGTTTCATCATGTTGTGCAGGCTGGTCTTGAACTCCTGAGCTCAAGGGATCCACCTGCCTCGGCCTCCCAAAGCATTAGGATCATGGGCGTGAGCCACCACGCCTGACTAAAATCTCAACTTTTTTTTTTTTGTTTTGAGACGGAGTCTTACTCTGTCACACCGGCTGGAGTGTAGTGGTGTGATCTCGGCTCACTGCAACCTCTGCCTCCCGGATTCAAGTGATTCTCCTGCCTCAGCCTCCCAAGTAGCTGGAATTACAGGTGCCCACCACCACACCCAGCTAATTTTTGCATTTTAAGTAGAGACGGGGTTTCACCATATTGGCCAGGCTGGTCTCAAACTCCTGACCTTGTGATCTGCCCGCCTCCGCCTCCCAAAGTGCTGGGATTACAGGTGTGAGCCACCGCGCCCGACTGATATCTCAACTTTTAGTGACCCTTGGTCAAGCAGTGAAGGCGGTGCCCGTGGCGTGTTGTCTGCACTGGCCCAAAATAAGAGATGATGTTTGACCTATTGGGCCGGGCACGTCTGGTCCTCTGTCCCTGTTTCCCGTGGAGGAATCGTGGGCCCCTCTGTTCTTATGGTGTCACCAGTGGGGGCCGTCCTTGACCTGCCCCTGGGAGCACGGTATGTCCCCTCGCCATGCAGACCACACTGTGGAGTCTTTTAATGAGGAGAGAAAAGCCCCTGAAAGGTTGATGTTCTGCAGACACGTGCAGCACGTGGGCTCGGAAGAAGGCGTTTCCTGTGTGCGCTGGCAGCCTCGAGCTTCTCCGTGAGCGCATGCCCAGGCCGGCCTGAGCGCTGATTAACCAGCTGACGCGGCAGAGCGCTCCGGGTCTGAGGCAGCCACTCTCCCTGCAGCCAGCGGGTGGGCAGGGCACTGTGGTCCTTTGCCATTTTTCCACGGCCTGGGGGTGTCAGGGTGTCTGGGTTGGGGGGTGCAGGGGGTGAGCAGAGGCAGCAGCTGCACCTGAGCCTCCCTGTGGGGGCAGCTCATGGCTGTGGCCCAGGGTACCCCGGGGCCTTGGTGGGTGACCCAGAGGGTGGGGTCCTCTTGGTCATTTTCTAGAGGGAGTGTGGGGACTGAGTGTTCCTGCCTGGGTGCCAGGCTAAGCTCATTTTAACGGTGCCTGGGGACGGGAACAAGAAGCCACATCCTTCCCAGTTAGGCCCAGCTGCACTCTGTCCAGCCTCCCAGGGCTGCCTGTCTTCCTGCCTGTAGGGCAGAGTTGGAGGTCCAGCCTGTCCTGTCTGGAGTCACAGGGGAGCACATTGCTAGTGGGTGACACAGAAAATTTGGATGCCCTGCCTGTGAGGAGGGGTCTGGTAGCCCTGGGCGGGGGTCTCCTTGGCCAAGGCACCTGCCCACCCCTCCCCTTTGCCCCAAGCCTGGATTGAGGGGTGTTGGGGCTGCCTTTCCTGACTCATGCTGGATGCAGGTCACATCTAGGGCTCACCTGTGGGCGTCTGGCAGGGCTGGTACTGTGTGGGCGCTGTGCCATGTCCCCAGCGTCCTCCACCACCTTCACCAGCGGACACAGGGCTGGGAAGCTTCCACAGTGCGCTCTGGAGATGCCAGTCAGGCAGCGTCTGAGAGCCCAGAGGGTTCGGGGGCAGCTGGGGTCCCTGGCAGGTTCCCAAGCGTCATCCCCATCCCAGCCTGGTCTCCGGTGGCTCTGTCTGTGGGTGTGGCCTGGGGCTGGGGTCTCGGTGTGGCTGCCCTCGTGTCTGGCAAGAGGGGAGGGTCTGGATCGTTCTGAGCTGTGCATCCGGGCCGGCATGTTGACCTTCCTGTTTCTTTTGGGGCCACTGTTAGCCTCGGCCAGGACCAGCGGCTGGAGGGTCTTCCAGCCCCACCTGGCCACCCCCTTCCTCGGGCCAGTGAGCCCAAGGGGTCTGTCGCCATGATCTGGCCTCACCTTTCACCCGAGTGGGGCCCCAGCCAGGCACGCCAGCACCCCCAGGACCCTGGGCCAGGGCCGTGAGTCAGGGCGGGGCACCCGGGAGGGCCTGGGTGAGGAGGTCGTGGGGGGGCTTTGGCTGGCTGGTAGCTGCCCTCCTAGTGGCTCGCTGCAGAGGCTGGTGTGAGGGGAGCCGGGCTGAGCTCAGCTGGGAGGGAGGGCGGGGAGGCAGGCAGCTGTCTTCACGGTTCCCAGGATGAGGTGGACCTTTGGGGAAGCAGTGGGAGCTGGGCGGGTTCTGGGGAGGGGAGGCAAGGAGCAGAGGCAGGGGTCAGTGGGGGTCTCCGCCCCGTCTCCGCCCCTGGCCGTCGGGGCGCCCGGGGGCTGGCGGATCATCCAAGTGTGAGCCCCCCTTGAAGCCCGCGAGGTCGGGAGGAGGAGGCGAGGGGAGGATTTACTGGGCGGCGGAGTGAGAAGGCCAGAGAGGACTGGCTGGGAGCGGGGACCAGAGCGGGACCCCAGCGGGACCTGAGCGCCGTCGTGCCGCCGTTCTGGGCAGGTCCGCGCAGACATGCAGCGGCGGAGACCGGGCGCGCCCCTGGGCCTCGCCCCCGCGCGGGGGCTCTGAGCGCCAGCCGCCCCCATGACTGCGCCCTGGCGCCGGGACTCGCCGCGCTGAGCCGCCTCGGGACGGAGCCATGCGGCGCTGGGCCTGGGCCGTGGTCGTGGTCCTCCTGGGGGGCCTCGGGGCCCGGTCGGAGGCGCAGAGGACGCAGCAGCCTGGCCAGCGCGCGGATCCCCCCAACGCCACCGCCAGCGCGTCCTCCCGCGAGGGGCTGCCCAAGGCCCCCAAGGTACGCGGCCAGGACGCACGGAGTCCCTTGTGGGGCGACTTCGGAGCTCGGGTCCTGGGGCGTCATCCCCCAGCAGGCTCTGTCCCCGCCGGCTCTGCCTCGGGGTTGCCCTTTTTGAGGCCTCGGCCACGGTCCTGCCTTGGGAATCTGCTGCAGCCCAGCCGGGCTGGCCTTTGGGAAGCCCTCTCCTCCTTTGCAGCCCGGACCTGGCCCCCAGCTGGCCTGGGGTGGGTGGGTGAAGGGGGGCTTCCCGCAGGGGTTGGGGGCTACAGTTAACCCTTTGAAGCCTGGGCCTGCCACGCCCTGAGGAACCTGTTGCTATTAAGTTAATTGCTGATTTGGGGGTGGGGAGGGGCTCCGGCAGCTTGCTGGATGGTTTACCAGACCCCCTGGGAGCCCAGCACCCCATGACTCCCGCGGCTGGAGACGCCATGGTGAGCCTGTCCCTTGT